CTGCACCCCTCTGCACCCCTCTTCATCATTCTTTCTCCCTCTCAGTCCTGTTCGGCCCTCCTCATCCCTCTTCATCCCTTTTCATCCTTCTCGTTCACTTGCCTCTCTTTCCATCTCTTCGCCTCCCCTCTTCCTCCCCTCCCTTTCTCTTTCTTCTATTCAACCAGGCACGAGGTCCTGCCATACGGGGTACTGTGCGCGTCTAGGGAGTCTTATCATTCTGTATTCAAATCAAGGCAGCCCGCATGTGTCGCATGGAGTGTGAGAAGGTGGAGGCTCCAGCACACGGCTGGGGACATTGAGGATTACTTTCTTCTGCCTGCTTCTCCCTCTCTCCCTTCCCCCAGGAGGGAGGTCCTGCCAGACGGGGTGCTGTACGCGTCTAGGGAGTCCCACTATTCCGTCTTCAAGGCAGCTCGCATGTATCGAATTGAGTGTGAGAGAGGAGAGTGTGAGAGGGTGGAGACCCACACGGCTGGAGACACAGAGACTCACTGATTCTCTTCCCTACTCACCCACCCTCTCCCCCCTGCCCCTCTCCCAGGAGGGAGGTCCTGCCAGACGGGGTGCTGTACGCGTCTAGAGAGTCCCACTACTCCGTTTTCAAGGCAGCTCGCATGTATCGAATGGAGTGTGAGAGGACGTGTGGAGACACCCTTAAACTCGCTCCACCCCCCTCCCCTGCTCCCTTTCGCCCAGGAGGGAGGTCCTGCCAGACGGGGTGCTGTACGCGTCTGGAGAGTCTCATTACTCTGTCTTCAAGGCAGCTCGCATGTATCGCATGGAGTGTGAGAAGGTGGAGACCCCCTTAAGCATACTCGCTCTTCCCGCCTTCCCTGCTCCCTTTCGCCCAGGCGAGAGGTCCTGCCAGACGGGGTGCTGTACGCGTCTAGAGATTCCCACTACTCGGTCTTCAAGGCAGCTCGCATGTATCGCATGAAGTGTGAGAAGGTGGCCACTCACACGGCTGGGGACACAGAGACTCACTGAGTTCCTTTCCTGCTCACCCTCTCTCCTCCTGCCGCTTCGCCCAGGAGGGAGGTCCTGCCAGACGGGGTGCTGTACGCGTCTAGGGAGTCTCATTACTCTGTCTTTAAAGCAGCTCGCATGTATCGCATGGAGTGTGAGAAGGTGGAGACCCACACGGCTGGGGACATTGACTGCCGGGACCTGGCTGGGAAGCTGGCGAAACACAGAGGAAAGCCTGCAATCCTCAATGTCAACATCGGTACGTACGTGTGTAGTATGTGTGTAGTGAATCAGAGTGTAGTCAATCTCACTCTTCAGTGTTCAAGGCAGCTCGCATGTACCGAATGGAGTGTGAGAAGGTGGCAACACACACGGCTGGGGACATTGACTGCCGGGACCTTGCTGGGAAGCTTGCCAAGCACAGAGGACGACCGGCGATTCTCAACGTGAACATCGGTACGTGTTTGTGACTATAGCTGACTATAGGCTGTAGTGAAGGTGATAAGAGTGAGACAGAGGGGGACATTGACTGCCGGGACCTTGCTGGGAAGCTGGTGAGGCACAGAGGGCGACCTGCAATCCTCAATGTGAACATTGGTACGTGTGTGTGTGTGTCTGTAGCCTATAATGAAGGTGGTAATAGCGAGAGAGAGTGCGTGCGTGAACACGAGACACGAGCAGACCCACACAGTTGGGGACATTGAGTCATTGACTGCAGAGACAGGCAAGCTTGCCAAGCACGGAGAGCGATCAGCGATTCGTAATGTGAGCATCTGGCTGGCAAGCCTGCCAGCTCGAGGTGACTTTTGAGTCGACTCAAAAGCTCTGTAGTCAGCGCCTTGCTTCACCCTCACGCCTTATCCCCACTCCTTTTTATTTCTCCCTCACCCCACTCCCCCCCAGGCACCACGGTGAAGGGAGCAGTGGACGATCTCGATCTGGTCATCACCCGCTTCTCTTCCTCACGCCCTCTTCTCTTCCTCACGCCCTCTTCTCTTCCTCACGCCCTCTTCTCTTCCTCACGCCCTCTTCTCTTCCTCACGCCCTCTTCTCTTCCTCACGCCCTCTTCTCTCTCCCTCCCTTCCTCTCTCTTTCTAACCCCCCCCCCCAGGCACCACGGTGAAGGGAGCAGTGGACGACCTGGATCTGGTCATCACCACACTGCACGAGGCAGGCCTTTGACTGAGACTGATGACCTCTGGTTCCTCGTCATTCTCATGCCCCCTCTCCACCCCCTCACACTCACAGGCACCACGGTGAAGGGGGCAGTGGACGACCTGGATCTGGTCATCACCACACTGCACGAGGCAGGCCTGTCGGACGATCAGTTCTACATCCACTGCGACGGAGCCCTCTTTGGCCTCATGCTGCCCTTCGTAAAAAAGGTACGCTATGGCTAGTATGCTCTCAGCAGTGCCGTACAACACGTCAGTGTGCTGGTGGGGTGTATCAGTAGAGAAGGTGTATCCACGAGGCGGGTCTGTCAGACGATCAGTTCTACATCCACTGCGATGGAGCCCTCTTTGGCCTCATGCTGCCATTTGTCAAGAAGGTAACATGTCATCACTATGCTGGTTTCAGTGGGCCTGTCAGACGAGCAGTTCTACATCCACTGCGACGGGGCCCTCTTTGGCCTCATGCTGCCCTTCGTCAAGAAGGTAAGCTGCGTGCTGAGTGTGCTCTCAGTAGTGCTGTACAACACACCAGTGTGCTGGTACCAGGCACTGCACAAAGCAGGCCTGTCGGACGACCAGTTCTACATCCAAGGTGCGCTGTGGCTAGTGTGCTGTGCTATCAATGGTGCTCTACAGCACGTCAATGCGCTAGGGTGGTGTATCAGGAGAGCCACTGCACGAGGCAGGCCTGTCAGACCATCAGTTCTACATCCGCTGTGACGGAGCCCTCGTTGACCTCATTCTTCCAAACGTATGATCACAAATTGCTTTTTCACCACATGCTCATATGCCACATGCTTTTTCACCAGCACCTAAAACCCCCTCCCCCTCCTTCACCCCCCCAGGCCCCCCGTGTGACATTCAAGAAGCCCATCGGAAGTGTCTCGGTCTCGGGTCACAAATTCGTGGGCTGTCCCATGCCCTGTGGGGTGGGGTGCAGATCATGAAACAATCCCCTCTATCCTCCCTGGCCTATAAACCCCATTCTTCACCCCCTGCAGGCCCCCCGTGTGACTTTCAAGAAGCCCATTGGCAGTGTGTCAGTCTCGGGTCACAAGTTTGTTGGCTGCCCCATGCCCTGTGGGGTGCAGATCATGCGTCGCCGCTACCTCTCCGCTCTCTCCTCTGACATTGAATACCTCGCCTCTCGCGATGCAACCATCATGGGCTCACGCAACGGGCACGCCCTATGGGGTGCAAAGTGTATGTACCAAACCCCTATCTCCCTCCCCTTTTACCCCCTCCAGGCCCCTCGAGTGACATTCAAGAAGCCTATCGGCAGCGTCTCGGTCTCAGGTCACAAGTTTGTCGGCTGCCCCATGCCCTGCGGGGTGCAGATTATGCGACGCTGCTACCTCTCTGCTCTCTCCTCTGACATAGAATACCTCGCCTCTCGCGATGCAACCATCATGGGCTCACGCAACGGGCACGCACCCATCTTCCTCTGGTATGCCCTCAACAAAAAGGGTTACCGCGGATTCCGGAAGGACGTGCAGCGGTGCCTGCGCAACGCGCTGCACCTGCACGCGTGGCTGCGGGCGGCGGGGTTCGGCGCGATGCTGAACACTCTCAGCAGCACGGTGGTTTTCGAGAGGCCTGAGGAGGAGGCGTTTGTGAGGCAGTGGCAGCTTGCATGCCAGGGAAAGGTGGCTCATGCAGTGGTGATGCCGAGTGTGTCTCCGGAAAAGATTGATCTGTTTGTGAGGGAGTTTGTGGCGAGTCGGGAGAGGTGCCGAGCAGCTAGGGCTGCTGCTGCTGGTGGTGGTGGTGCTGATGCTTCTGCTGCTGCTGCCGCTCCTGTTGCTGTTGCTGCAACTGCTGCTGGCGGTTCTGCTGATGGTGCTATCGCTGCTGCGAGCGGTTCAGGTGCTACCACGATTGCAGACGCGTCAATAAGTGATGTGTGTGTGGCTGACGTGTTGGGGCCAGAGAACTGCTCCTGTGCGGCCCACGTGGCCATCTGGCTCACGCGTGCCGAGCAGAATGCAGTCGAGAGAAGACGGTACAGCTGCTACAGTGACACGTCAGGGGATGACTCTTCGTTACACGGCAGCAGCTCTGTGCACAGGCTTCTGTAGTGAGTGATTATCTAAGGCAATGACTGGCGCACTCGTATCGAGCAGGATGCTGTCGAGAGAAGATGGTACAGCTGCTACAGTGACACGTCAGGGGACGATTCTTTGTAACACGGCGGCAACACCATGCAGAGGCTGCTGCAGTAGATGTTTGCAGATTGGTGCGGTTGAGTGGGGTACGGTGCTTTACCAACAGGGAGGAGCCTGGGTTGCTACAGCGACACGTCAGGAGTTGACTCTTCGTTGATTGGCGGGACGGGATAATGCAGGGAAGAGGCTGAGCAGAAGTTGCCACGGTTGATAGGTTTTTAGCCCAGCTATGGCTTTTACATGCCATTGAGTAACCATGTTTACAAAAGTCTGGGTTCGGTGTGGTCTCCCTAAGGAGACCATACATGACTTTAATTTACCATTGCATTAGCATATGTTATTCGTAAAGCTGGTTAGGAGAGAGCAGTCGGTTGTTATTCGGCACACAAAAGAGGAAACTCGTTTAGGTATAGGTGCTGTTGATCACTATATCACATACGGCCAGTACCAACGTCCAATCAAAAGGAGAGGAGTTACTGGTGTTTAAGCACCTCATTTTTGCAAACATATCCTTCTTAAAGCCCAGGACGAAGGCGACTAGAGTTGCTGCAACTGAGACACTATGGGAGGGGGAACGCGGGCCATAGCGGCTTGAAAGGGCTGCTCCCCATACACCGCCACACACGCCTGCAGCTTCTCCTACAGGAGACTCAGGCAAGAAAGAGAGAGCCAGCGCCCTGGGTATCGTAACTAGAGTTGCTGCAGCTGAGACACAATGGGCGGAGGCACGCGGGCCATGGCGGCTTGGAATTGCTGCTCCCCGTGCACCGCCACACACGCCTGCAGCTTCTCCTTTAAGAACGGCCCCACTGCTACCCGGTGCACGGGGTCTATGGATGCTACTTGGCGCCGCCTCAGCGCCTCGCACTCCACGGGAGCGCCTTCCCCTCCCTGAATCGAGTCTGATACCGATGCATAGTCGTAGCTGTAGGGGGCAGATGTGGGGAGAGGAGAGGGAGAGGGGCAAAAGGGGGTTCGCCTTCAGGAACGGCCCCACTGCTACCCGGTGCACGGGGTCTATGGACGCCACCTGGCGCCGCCTCAACGCTTCACACTCCACGGGAGCGCCTTCCCCTCCTTGAATCGAGTCTGAAACTGAAGCATAGTCGTAGCTGCAGCGGGGGAATGGGAATGGGAACAGAGGAGAAGGTCATGCGGTGAAAACTGGGTTTACACACAGGACCATATCGCCCCTCTCACGGTCACCCGGTGCACTGAGTCTATGGATGCTACTTGGCGCCGCCTCAGCGCCTTGCACTCCACGGCCGCTCCTCCTCCCTGAAAGGAATCTGAAACGGAAGCATAGTCCCTCAGCTGCGAGGGGGGGTTAAGGAGAACAGGGTTGTCAGGGCTGACCTCCCCAAGAGAGCGAGTGCAGACAGGTCAAGGCAGCAGCAAATTCGTGGCAGCAGCAGCAAGCAAGGAGGGAAGAGGGCAGCAGTGGGCAGCAGCGGGCAGCAGCGACTCACCCAACAGTGGCGATGTCTGGCAGCAGTGGCGTGTTGCCTGGGTTGTCCTCTCCCAGAGAGCCCGTGCAGACAGAGAGAATGAGGTCCAACCTTCCCCTAGGACCGTCACGGGAAGCTAGACACTAACTCACCCCACAGTGGAGATGTCTGGCAGCAGTGGCGTGTTGCCTGGGTTGTCCTCTCCCAGAGAGACCGTGCAGACAGAGAGAATGAGGTCCAACCTTCCCCTAGGACCGTCACGGGAAGCTAGACACTAACTCACCCCACTGTGGAGATGTCTGGCAGCAGTGGCGTGTTGCCTGGGTTGTCCTCTCCCAGAGAGCCGGTGCAGACAGAGAGAATGAGGTCCAACCTTCCCCTAGGACCGTCACGGGAAGCTAGACACTAACTCACCCCACAGTGGAAATGTCTGGCAGCAGTGGCGTGTTGCCTGGGTTGTCCTCTCCCAGAGAGCCGGTGCAGACAGAGAGAATGAGGTCCAACCTTCCCCTAGGACCGTCACGGGAAGCTAGTCTCTAACTCACCCAACAGTGGCGATGTCTGGCAGCAGTGGCGTGTTGCCTGGGTTGTCCTCTCCCAGAGAGCCCGTGCAGACAGAGAGAATGAGGTCCAACCTTCCCCTAGGACCGTCACGGGAAGCTAGACACTAACTCACCCCACTGTGGAGATGTCTGGCAGCAGTGGCGTGTTGCCTGGGTTGTCCTCTCCCAGAGAGACCGTGCAGACAGAGAGAATGAGGTCCAACCTTCCCCTAGGACCGTCACGGGAAGCTAGACACTAACTCACCCCACTGTGGAGATGTCTGGCAGCAGTGGCGTGTTGCCTGGGTTGTCCTCTCCCAGAGAGCCCGTGCAGACAGAGAGAATGAGGTCCAACCTTCCCCTAGGACCGTCACGGGAAGCTAGACACTAACTCACCCCACTGTGGAGATGTCTGGCAGCAGTGGCGTGTTGTCTGGGTTGTCCTCTCCCAGAGAGCCGGTGCAGACAGAGAGAATGAGGTCCAACCTTCCCCTAGGACCGTCACGGGAAGCTAGACACTAACTCACCCCACTGTGGAGATGTCTGGCAGCAGTGGCGTGTTGCCTGGGTTGTCCTCTCCCAGAGAGCCGGTGCAGACAGAGAGAATGAGGTCCAACCTTCCCCTAGGACCGTCACGGGAAGCTAGACACTAACTCACCCCACTGTGGAGATGTCTGGCAGCAGTGGCGTGTTGTCTGGGTTGTCCTCTCCCAGAGAGCCGGTGCAGACAGAGAGAATGAGGTCCAACCTTCCCCTAGGACCGTCACGGGAAGCTAGACACTAACTCACCCCACTGTGGAGATGTCTGGCAGCAGTGGCGTGTTGTCTGGGTTGTCCTCTCCCAGAGAGCCGGTGCAGACAGAGAGAATGAGGTCGAGTCTTTCGAGAATCTGCGGTTCCGGCATTGTGAGCAGCACTGCCAGGGCGAGAGAAGAGAGCTTCCGTTTCGCTGGGACTGAGACAGAGTCGACCTATGGAAGGGAGGGAGGGAGGCGGGTGACGGGAAAGAAAGAGTCGGTGCAGGCAGGAAGAATGAGGCCAAGTCCCTCTAGTATCTGCGGCTCAGGCATTGTGAGCAGCACCGCCAGGGCCAGAGAGGAGAGCTTCCGTTTTGCTGGGACCGAGACAGAGTCGACCTGTGGGGGTCAGGGAAAGGAAGGGAGAGAAAGAACAGGTGCAGGCAGGAAGAATGAGGCCAAGTCTCTCTAGTATCTGCGGCTCAGGCATTGTGAGCAGCACCGCCAGGGCCAGAGTGGAGAGTTTTCGCTTTGCTGGAACTGAGACAGAGTCGACGTGAGGGGAGAGGGAATGGGAGAAGGGGGGACGGAAGGGAGAGGACAAGAAACAGAGGCGGTGCAATCGCTGAGAATGAGGTCGAGTCTCTCCAGTATCTGCGGCTCTGGCATTGTGAGCAGCACTGCCAGAGTCAGAATGGAAATAATTCGTTTGGCTGGGACCAGGGGCAGAGAGAGCAGGGCGAGGGCCCACCTTATCCAGCCAAGCATCGAGGAACAGGGCGAGAGGAGGAGCGTTGCCCTTTGCTGCGGACTGCTGCTGCAGGAGCAGGCGGGTCGAGTCGGCAGATATGAACTGGGCGAAGTAGGAGCTGTTCTGTAGCACCACCCGTGCGAGCACTGTAGCGCATGTGCCTCTAACTGGTCAAATTAGGAGCTAGAGAAAGAGAGAGAAAGGAGCTGGCAGAGACAGCGGGGCGAGGGCCTACCTTATCCAACCAAGCATCCAGAAAGAGGGCGAGAGGAGGAGCGTTGCCCTTTGCTGCGGACTGCTGCTGCAGGAGCAGGCGGGTTGAGTCGGCGGATATGAACTGAGCGAAATAGGAGCTGTTCTGTAGAACCACCCGTGCGAGCACTGTAGCGCATGTGCCTCTAACGAGGTCAGAGTATTCTGTTGGTCCGACGATTATCAGCAGCAGTTTCTGCGGTGAGGGTGACCGACGGGAGGAGGGAATGACCCGGCAAGAAAGTAAGCGGAGGACAGGAGTGAGATTGATTTTGAGAATTCTCAAAATCAATCTCGTGAACGACGGGAGGAGGAATGATCCGGCAAGAGAATAAGCGGAGGACAGGAGTGAAGAGGAGCGGGGGAAGAGAGGGAGGAAAAAGCAGTCCATAAACGTTGCAACAGCATGAATACAGCAGGGAAGCGCAGACTAGCTTTTCCACAAAGCAACAGGAAAGAAGTCTTGATATTGGTGCAGATTGCAATTGCAGCTAATGAGCAAATCAGGAATAATGTTACCTGCTGACTGACTGAAGCTACTGACTGCTGACTGTTACCTGAAGAACTGACTCGAGGGCAGGAGGAGCTTCAGCTGGGTAGCACTGCAGGAACAAGCACAGGGTGATGAGAAACAGACTATTTCTGAGGCGCCTCAAACGATGAAAATCAGATTATTCTGAGATAGACCGGACACAGCGCAAAAAGAAAGGAGCAGATAGGTACATCAAACCCTGGCCACTTATCAGGCATAATCGGCCCCAGAACCGGCCTCCCACATGCAGGATGATTTCTACTAGCCCCGCCACCAGCAGCATGAGCTTCTCTTTCACATTCGACCACCGCATCAATCATTCCCACCAGGATAGCCATCCCTTGTTGCCATTGTCCACCTCACTGCACAGTACACAGACGCTAGCCATACAACAGGCCCCTCCCTCACCTGAATTATCAGATCAACGAGTCCCGCCACCAGCAGCATCGCCTTCTCCTTCACATTCCCCACCACCGCATCAATCATTCCCACCAGGCTCCCTGCGTGCTGCTGCAGGAACGCTGGCCCTCCCACCAGGACATAGCTCTCCATGATTGCCGTGGCTACCTGAAGAGATAAAGCAGGGGAATGACACGGTATCACATAAGACAGTGCAAGCTCCAACAGGTAGGAACGCCGGCCCTCCCACCAGGACATAGCTCTCCATGATTGCAGTGGCTACCTGAAGAGATAATGAAACAAGAGACCGACACAAGGTCACATGGCAATATATGCGACGCACACATGCTGCTGCTGCAGGAACGCTGGCCCTCCCACCAGCACGTAGCTCTCCATGATTGCTGTGGCTACCTGAGGAGGGGCAGGGGATCAACATCACATGACATGGTATCACATAACCATAATGCATCCAAGCTCGTGCTGCAGGAACGCTGGCCCTCCCACCAGCACATAGCTCTGCATTCTTGATGTGGCTACATGGCGGTTGGGAGTGGGACAACGCGACTTGGACCGCGCGCGCGCGCGCCTTGGTCCGCGCGCGCGCCATGGTCCGCGCGCGCCCCATGGTCCGCGCGCGCGCCATGGTCCGCGCCCGCGCCTAGGTCCGGGCGCGCGCGCCTTGGTCCGGGCGCGCGTGTTGGTCCGAGCGCGCGCCTTGGTCCGGGCGCGCGCCTTGACCCGGGCGCGCGCCTGGACCAACGCGCGCGCCTGGACCTACGCGCGCGCCAGGACCAACGCGCGCGACTGGACCAACGCGCGCGCCTGGACCAACGCGCGCGCCTGGACCAACGCGCACGCCTGGACCAACGCGCGCCTGGACCAACGCGCGCGCCTGGACCAACGCGCGCGCCTGGACCACCGCGCGCGCCTGGACCACCGCGCGCGCCTGGACCAACGCGCGCGCGCCTGGACCAACGCGCGCGCGCCTGGACCAACGCGCGCGCGCGCCTGGACCAACGCGCGCGCCTGGACCAACGCGCGCGCCTGGACCAACGCGCGCGCCTGGACCAACGCGCGCGCCTGGACCAACGCACGCGCCTGGACCAACGCGCGCGCCTGGACCAACGCGCGCGCCTGGACCAACGCGCGCGCCTGGACCTATGCGCGCGCCTGGACCTACGCGCGCGCCAGGACCAACGCGCGCGCCTGGACCTACGCGCGCGCCTGGACCAACGCGCGCGCCTCGACCAACGCGCGCGCCTGGACCAACGTGATCATTGCGCGCGCCTGGACCAACGCGCGCGCCTGGACCAACGCGCGCGCCTGGACCAACGCGCGCGCCTGGACCAACGCGCGCGCCTGGACCAACGCGCGCGCCTGGACCAACGCGCGCGCCTGGACCAACGCGCGCGCCTGGACCAACGCGCGCGCCTGGACCAACGCGCGCGCCGGGACCAACGCGCGCGCCTGGACCAACGCGCGCGCCGGGACCAACGCGCGCGCCAGGACCCACGCGCGCGCCCGGACCCACGCGCGCGCCCGGACCCACGCGCGCGCCCGGACCAACGCGCGCGCCCGGACCCACGCGCGCGCCCGGACCCACGCGCGCGCCCGGACCAACGCGCGCGCCCGGACCAACGCGCGCGCCCGGACCAACTCGCGCGCCCGGACCAACGCGCGCGCCCGGACCAACGTGCGCGCCCGGACCAACGCGCGCGCCCGGACCAACGCGCGCGCCTGGACCAACGCGCGCGCCCGGACCAACGCGCGCGCCCCTGGACCAACGCGCGCGCCTGGACCAACGCGCGCGCCTGGACCAACGCGCGCGCCTGGACCAACGCGCGCGCCTGGACCAACGCGCGCGCCTGGACCAACGCGCGCGCCTGGATTTACGCGCGCGCCTGGACCAACGCGCTCGCCTGGACCAACGTGATCATTGCGCGCGCCTGGACCAACGCGCGCGCGCCTGGACCAACGCGCGCGCCTGGACCAACGCGCGCGCCGGGACCAATGCGCGCGCCGGGACCAACGCGCGCGCCTGGACCAACGCGACCAACGCGCGCGCCTGGACCAACGCGCGCGCCTGGACCAACGCGCGCGCCCGGACCAATTCGCGCGCCCGGACCAACGCGCGCGCCTGGACCAACGCGCGCGCCTGGACCAACGCGCTCGCCTGGACCAACGTGATCATTGCGCGCGCCTGGACCAACGCGCGCGCGCCTGGACCAACGCGCGCGCCTGGACCAACGCGCGCGCCTGGACCAACGCGCGCGCCTGGACCAACGCGCGCGCCTGGACCAACGCGCGCGCCTGGACCAACGCGCGCGCCGGGACCAACGCGCGCGCCGGGACCAACGCGCGCGCCTGGACCAACGCGACCAACGCGCGCGCCTGGACCAACGCGACCAACGCGCGCGCCTGGACCAACGCGCGCGCCTGGACCAACGCGCGCGCCTGGACCAACGCGCGCGCCTGGACCAACGCGCTCGCCTGGACCAACGCGCGCGCCTGGACCTACGCGCGCGCCTGGACCAACGCGCGCGCCTGGACCAACGCGCGCGCCGGGACCAACGCGCGCGCCTGGACCAACGCGCGCGCCTGGACCAACGCGCGCGCCCGGACCAACGCGCGCGCCTGGACCAACGCGCGCGCCCGGACCAACGCGAGCGCCTGGATCAACGCGCGCGCCTGGACCAACGCGACCAACGCGCGCGCCTGGACCAACGCGCGCGCCTGGACCAACGCGCGCCCTGGACCAACGCGCGCGCCTGGACCAACGCGTGCGCCTGGACCAACGCGCGCGCCTGGACCAACGCGCGCGCCTGGACCAACGCGCGCGCCTGGACCAACGCGCGCCCTGGACCAACGCGCGCGCCTGGACCAACGCGCGCGCCTGGACCAACGCGCGCGCCTGGACCAACGCGCGCGCCTGGACCAACGCGCGCGCCTGGACCAATTTCGCGCGCCTGGACCAGCGCGCGCGCCTGGACCAGCGCGCGCGCCTGGACCAGCGCGCGCGCCTGGACCAACGCGCGCGCCTGGACCAACGCGCGAGCCTGGACCAACGCGCGCCCTGGACCAACGCGCGTGCCTGGACCATCGCGCGCGCCTGGACCAACGCGCTCGCCTGGACCAACGTGATCATTGCGCGCGCCTGGACCAACGCGCGCGCCTGGACCAACGCGCGCGCCTGGACCAAAGCGCGCGCCTGGACCAACGCGCGCGCCTGGACCAACGCGCGCGCCTGGACCAACGCGCGCGCCTGGACCAACGCGCGCGCCTGGACCAACGCGCGCGCCTGGACCAACGCGCGCGCCTGGACCAATGCGCGCGCCTGGACCAACGCGCTTGCCTGGACCAACGTGATCACTGCGCGCGCCTGGACCAACGCGCGCGCCTGGACCAACGCGCGCGCCTGGACCAACGCGCGCGCCTGGACCAATTTCGCGCGCCTGGACCAGCGCGCGCGCCTGGACCAACGCGCGCGCCTGGACCAACGCGCGCGCCTGGACCAACGCGCGCGCCAGGACCAACGCGCGCGCCTGGACCAACGCGCGCGCCTGGACCAACGAGCGCCCTGGACCAACGCGCGCGCCTGGACCAACGCGCGCGCCTGGACCAACGCGCGCGCCTGGACCAACGCGCTCGCCTGGACCAACGTGATCATTGCGCGCGTTTGGAATAACGCGCGCGCCTGGACCAACGCGCGCGCCTGGACCAATTTCGCGCGCCTGGACCAGCGCGCGCGCCTGGACCAGCGCGCGCGCCTGGACCAGCGCGCGCGCCTGGACCAGCGCGCGCGCCTGGACCAACGCGCGCGCCTGGACCAACGCGCGCGCCTGGACCAACGCGCGCGCCTGGACCAACGCGCGCGCCTGGACCAACGCGCGCGCCTGGACCAACGCGCGCGCCTGGACCAACGCGCGCGCCTGGACCAACGAGCGCCCTGGACCAACGCGCGCGCCTGGACCAACGCGCGCGCCTGGACCAACGCGCGCGCCTGGACCAACGCGCTCGCCTGGACCAACGTGATCATTGCGCGCGCCTGGACCAACGCGCGCGCCTGGACCAACGCGCGCGCCTGGACCAACGTGATCATTGCGCGCGCCTGGACCAACGCGCGCGCCTGGACCAACGCGCGCGCCTGGACCAACGCGCGCGCCTGGACCAACGCGCGCGCTTGGACCAACGCGCGCGCCTGGACCAACGCGCGCGCCTGGACCAACGCGCGCGCCTGGACCAACGCGCGCGCCTGGACCAACGCGCGCGCCTGGACCAACACGCGCGCCTGGACCAACGCGCGCGCCTGGACCAACGCGCGCGCCTGGACCAACGCGCGCGCCTGGACCAACGCGCGCGCCTGGACCAACGCGCGCGCCTGGACCAACGCGCGCGCCTGGACCAACGCGCGCGCCTGGACCAACGCGCGCGCCTGGACCAACGCGCGCGCCTGGACCAACGCGCGCGCCTGGACCAACGTGCGCGCCTGGACCAAAGAGCGCCCTGGACCAACGCGCGCGCCTGGACCAAAGCGCGCGACTGGACCAACGCGCGCGCCTGGACCAACGCGCGCGCCTGGACCAACGCGCGCGCCTGGACCAACGCGCGCGCTTGGACCAACGCGCGCGCCTGGACCAACGCGCGCGCCTCGACTAACGCGCGCGCCTGGACCAACGCGCGCGCCTGGACCAACGCGCGCCCTGGACCAACGCGCGCGCCTGGACCAACGCGCGCGCCTGGACCAACGCGCGCGCCTGGACCAACGCGCGCGCCTGGACCAACGCGCGCGCCTGGACCAATTTCGCGCGCCTGGACCAGCGCGCGCGCCTGGACCAGCGCGCGCGCCTGGACCAACGCGCGCGCCTGGACCAACGCGCGCGCCTGGACCAACGCGCGCGCCTGGACCAACGCGCGCCCTGGACCAACGCGCGTGCCTGGACCAACGCGCGCGCCTGGACCAACGCGCTCGCCTGGACCAACGCGCGCGCCTGGACCAACGCGCGCGCCTGGACCAACGCGCGCGCCTGGACCAACGCTCGCGCCTGGACCAACGCGCGCGCCTGGACCAACGCGCTCGCCTGGACCAACGTGAGCGCCTGGACCAACGCGCGCGCCTGGACCAACGCGCGCGCCTGGACCAACGCGCGCGCCTGGACCAACGCGCGCGCCTGGACCAACGTGATCATTGCGCGCGCCTGGACCAACACGCGCGCCTGGACCAACGCGCGCGCCTGGACCAACGCGCGCGCCTGGACCAACGCGCGCGCCTGGACCAACGCGCGCGCCTGGACCAACGCGCGCGCCTGGACCAACGCGCGCGCCTGGACCAACGCTCGCGCCTGGACCAACGCGCGCGCCTGGACCAACGCGCGCGCCTGGACCAACGCGCGCGCCTGGACCAACGCGCGCGCCTGCACCAACGCGCGCGCCTGCACCAACGCGCGCGCCTGCACCAACGCGCGCGCCTGGACCAACGCGCGCGCCTGGACCAACGCGCGCGCCTGGACCAACGCGCGCGCCTGGACCACCGCGCGCGCCTGGACCACCGCGCGCGCCTGGACCAACGCGCGCGCGCCTGGACCAACGCGCGCGCCTGCACCAACACGCGCGCCTGCACCAACGCGCGCTCCTGCACCAACGCGCGCGCCTGGACCAACGCGCGCGCCTGGACCAACGCGCGCGCCTGGACCAACGCGCGCGCGTGGACCACCGCGCGCGCCTGGACCAACGCGCGCGCCTGGACCAACGCGCTCGCCTGGACCAACGCGCGCGCCTGGACCAACTCGCGCGCCTGGACCAACGCGCGCGCCTGGACCAACGCGCGCGCCTGGACCAACGCGCGCGCCTGGACCACCGCGCGCGCCTGGACCAACGCGCGCGCCTGGACCAACGCGCGCGCCTGGACCAACGCGCGCGCCTGGACCAACGCGCGCGCCTGGACCAACGCGCGCGCCTGGACCAACGCGCGCGCCTGGACCAACGCGCTCGCCTGGACCAACGCGCGCGCCTGGACCAGCGCGCGCGCCTGGACCAACGCGCGCGCCTGGACCAACGCGCGCGCCTGGACCAATGCGCGCGCCTGGACCAACGCGCGCGCCTTGGTCCGAACGCGCGCGTTGGTCCGGGCGCGCACGCGTTGGTCCGGGCGCGCGCGCGCGTTGGTCCGGGCGCGCGCGCGCCTTGGTCCGGGCGCGCGCGCGTTGGTCCGGGCGCCCGCGCGCGTTGGTCCGGGCGCGCGCGCGCCTTGGTCCGGGCGCGCGCGCGCCTTGGTCCGGGCGCGCGCGCCTTGGTCCAACGCGCGCGCCTTGGTCCGGGCCCGCGCGCCTTGGTCCGGGCGCGCGCGCCTTGGTCGGCGCGCGCGCCTTGGTCCGGACGCGCGCGCCTTGGTCCGGGCGCGCACGTGTTGGTCCGGGCGCGCGCGCCTTACTACGGGCGCGCGCGCGTTGGTCCGGGCGCGCGCGCCTTGGTACGGGCGCGCGCGCCTTGGTCCGGGCGCGCGCCTTGGTCCGCGCGCGCGCCTAAGTCCACGCGCGCGCCTTGGTACGCGCGCGCGCCTTGGTCCGCGCGCGCGCCGTGGTCCGCGCGCGCGAGCCTTGGTTTGCGCGCGCTCCTTGGTCCGCGCGCGCGCCTTGGTCCGCGCGCGCGCCTTGGTCCATGATTGGCACGAGGTTGGCGAACAAAGTCATGAGAAAAAGGATGACACTCTGGTTTATCGGCTTCCCTCCAACCCATACCTGACAAAGTGCTCCTCCTTACCGGCAGGTCCATGATGGGCACGAGGTTGCAGAAGAGAGCCATGAGCTCAAGGCTGACACTCTGGCCTAGTGTGCTCACCCCAACACGTACCAGGCAATGTCAACGTCTTACCGGCAGGTACCCAAAGCTGCGATTCATAATGGGAACGAGGTTGGAGAAGAGAGCCATGAGTTCTGGTACCATGGGAACAGAGCTGGGCGATGAGGAATGGTTCTGCTCCCTCCAACGCTTACCTGGGAATGTCAGTGGTTTACCTGGCTGGCAATGCCAACGTCTTACCGGGAGGTGCTCAAAGCTGCGATCCATGATGGGCACAAGGTTGGCGAAGAGAGCCATGAGCTCTGGTACCATGGCTGGTGCATGTCGCAGTGTGGCTTGCCATAGCTGCACAGAGGGACACACAGAGAGGGAAGAGGCAACCAGAGAGGAATGAGGCAAAAAAGAAAGCCATAAGTTCTGGTACCATGGCTGGTGCATGGTGCAGCGTGGCTTGCCATAGCTGTGAGGAGGAGTGAAGAGGGTGTGAGAAGAGGAAATGGAGGGAGAAGAGAGAACGAGACAAATGAGAGGTAATGGAGAGAGCTATGAGCTATTGGTGCACTGGTAGAGAGAGCAAGGAGCTCCGGCACCATGGCTGGTGAAAGGCGCAGTGTGGCTTGCCATAGCTGTGAGGAGATGTTGTAACAGTGTGGGAAACTCAAGCACACTCACACACGCACACACACTCACCTGCAGCCCGTCTTCCAGCATGTTGAGCTCGTCTGGTTGGGAGATGTCGGTGCTGTAGCGCAGGATGGGGAAGAGCAGCGCCCTGTCCCATGAGTGTGAGTGTATCAACACCACCCACAGAATGGAGGATGTAGAAAGGAATGGTCTACCTGCAAACCGTCTTCTAACATGTTGAGTTCATCAGGTTGGGAGATACCGGTGCTGTAGCGCAGGATGGGGAAGAGCAGCGCCCTGTCCCATGAGTGTATCAACACTACCCACAGAATGGAGGATGTAGAAAGGAACAACTCACCTGCAGCCCATCTTCCTGCATGTTGAGTTCATCGGGCTGTGAAATATCGGTGCTGTAGCGCAGGATGGGGAAGAGCAGCGGAGGCAGTATGTACCCCTTACTATAGGGAAATTTCTCACGCACACATGCACGCACACACCTGAAGCCCGTCTTCCAGCATGTTGAGTTCATCAGGCTGGAAGATGTCGGTGCTGTATCGCAGGATGGGGAAGAGCAGTGGGTAGGAGATCGGGGACTGCGGGCCGAGCGACACGATGAGGCGTTGCAACGCCTGCATGACTTGAATGCGCAGCAGCGGTTGGCCCTCCGATTGCTCCCACACCTGGTGAGCGGATGATCATGGGGAAAAGGGGGTGGATGAGCATGGGGAATATAGGGCGAGAACGTCACACACAGAGGAGGGGTAGCAAGGACTTCATGAGTCGATTTTTGAGTCGACTCAAAAGTCGACTTATCACACAAGGACTTCATGTGCCACACCAGCACTATGCAGATCAAGAAGCGACATCAGCGGAGAGGAAAGTCACACACGAGCCGACTCAGAAGTCAAGAGGAAAGTCAAGTCAAGAGGAACGTCAAGTCAAGAGGAAAGTCAAGTCAAGAGGAACGTCAAGTCAAGAGGAAAGTCAAGTCAAGAGGAACGTCAAGTTAAGAGGAAAGTCAAGTCAAGAGGAAAGTCAAGTCAAGAGAAAAGTCATATATTCATTGCACTCACTTGAGGCAAGCACGAGAGGATCATGTCGGCCAATGGAACAATCTTCTCCCCCATACGCTCTATGAAGAGAGACACCAGATAGGCAACAGCACGAATCTTAGTCAAACAAGCACCACACCCCTTCATTCACCACACTCACCTGAGGCAAGCATGAGAGAATCTTGTCGGCCAATGGAACAATCTTCTCCCCCATACGCTCTATGAAGAGAGATACCATACAGGTAGAAGACACGGCATCATCATCACACTCACTTGTGGCAAGCAGGACAGTATTTTGTCGGCCAATGGAACGATCTTCTCCCCCATGCGCTCTATGATGAGCGACACCAGACAGACATAAGAAGCGACATCACCGTTTTTGGTAACACCAGCATCAGCTACACATCCCACACCCCTTCAGTCACCGCACTCACCTGCGGCAAGCATGAAAGGATCTTGTAGGCCAATGGAACAATCTTCTCCCCCATACGCTCTATGAAGAGAGATACCATACAGGTAGAAGACACGGCATCATCATCACACTCACTTGTGGCAAGCAGGACAGTATTTTGTCGGCCAATGGAACGATCTTCTCCCCCATGCGCTCTATGATGAGCGATACCACGTTCACTATCTGCAGCTGCGAATCAAACTCCGACACCTGTGATTGATGCAAAGGGAGAGAGTGATGCAAGGAGAGGGTAAGAAGGCATGTGCATGGACTTATGTAAATCATGTGCATGGCATTATGTAAATAATGTGCAGCATGTGCACAGGATTACCTGCTGCAGGCAGCGAAAGAGCAGCTGCACTGCCGTGTCGAGAAAGGGAGCGAACTGGCATGAGGCGCATAGCACTACTGTCAGTTTGAGTGGAGTGTACATCATGCGCATCACCTGCTGCAGGCAGCGAAAGAGCAGCTGCACTGCCGTGTCGAGGAAAGGGGCGAACTGGTCCTCATAGAAATGCACGTCGTCTATCAGCGTGCGGAGAGATGACACTGCTGTGAGCTGGGGTGGGGGGGGTTGTGCGGGAGGGAGAGAGAGGGGGAGAGAGGGGAGAAGGACACAGTGTGTGAGAGGAAGGGGGCGATCTGGTCCTCATAATAACGCATGTCCTCCATGAGCGTGCGGGGGGCTGAACCGCACTGAACCGCGTCTCACCTGAACCACGAGGTCTTCGTCTGGAAGCAGGGAGATGAGCGCCTGGTAGGCTGGCACACACAAGTCCCCCTCCACACTTCCCACCTACCAGCAGATGCTACAGCCTGCACCGTACTGCACTGCACTAAACCGCACTAAACCGCACTGGATCGTGCTGCACCGCACTGAACTCACCTGAACCACCAGGTCTTCATCTGGCAGCAGGGAGATGAGCGCCTGGTAGGCTGGCACGCACAGCTCCCCCTCCACCTTGCCCACCCACTGCCCCACCATCCACGCTGCCCGCCGGCGCAAGATTCGCGCGTTGGGATGGCGGCATGCCATGTCTGGTAGAAGTGCTGTGGTGAACCTGAAAGGGATTGCGGGGAAAATGGGTGGGAAAGTGAAAGGTAAATCAACAGAACCGTACAGCACATGGACATCAGGCACGTCGATAGTGAAAGTCAATGGTAATGGTAATAGTAGTGATAATGGTAATAGGAATGGAAATGGTAGTGATAATGGTAATAGTAATGGTAATGGTAGTGATAATGGTAATGGTAATAGTAATGGTAGTGATAATGGTAATGGTAATGGTAGTGGTAATGATTATGGTAATGGTAGTGGTAATGGTAATGGTAATGGTAATGGTAATAGTAATGGTAATAGTAATAGTAATGGTAGTGGTAATGGTAATGGGATTGGTAATGGTAGTGGTAATGGTAGTGGTAATGGTAGTGGTAATGATAATGGTAATAGTAATGGTAATAGTAATGGTAGTGGTAATGGTAACGGTAACGGTAATGGTAATGGTAACGGTAATGATAACGGTAATGGAAATGGTAGTGGTAATAGTAATGGTAATGGTAATGGCAATGGTAATGGTAATGGTAGTGATAATGGTAGTGGTAATGGTAATGGTAATAGTAATGGTAGTGGTAATGATATTGGTAATGGTAATTGTAGTGGAAATGGTAATTCTAGTGGAAATAGTAATGGAAATGGCAGTGGTAATGGTAATGATAATGGTAGTGGTAATGGTAATAGTAATGGTGATGGTAATGGTAAGGGTAATGGTAATGGTAGTGGTAATGGTAATGGTGGCACTACCATTACCATTGCAAGCACCCATCACTCACTCACCAGGCCTTGAAGTCCAAAACATCATGTGGATCGTAACACGCCACCCCCACGGCATCATAGCACGCGTCTTTCAGCAGCAGAGACGGGGTGACAGACACGTCCGCATCAAGTGTCAACCACACCACACAGCACCCATCCTCACCACTCACCAGGTCTTGAAGTCCACGACGTCATGTAGATCATAACATGCCACCCCCACGGCATCATAGCATGCACCCTTGAGCAGCAGAGCCGGGGTGACAGGCACATCGGCATATGAGTTAGATTCAGTCAGCCGCACACCACCCATCATCACCCATCGCTCACTCACCAGGTCATGAAGTCCACAACATCATGTAGAGCATGACACGCCACCCCCACGGCATCGTAGCATGCATCCTTGAGCAGCAGATCCAGGGTCACAGGCACGTCAGCATTTGGGTTAGGTTCAGTCAGCAGCACACCACCCATCATCACCCATCAGCACCCACCATGTTTTGAAGTCCACAACATCGTGTAGATCATAACATGCCACCCCCACAGCATCGTAGCATGCATCCTTGAGCAGCAGAGCCAGGGTCACAGGCACGTCAGCATTTGGGTTAGGTTCAGTCAGCAGCACACCACCCATCATCACCCATCAGCACCCACCATGTTTTGAAGTCCACAACATCATGTAGATCATAACACGCCACCCCCACGGCATCGTAGCACGCATCCTTGAGCAGCAGAGCCGGGGTGACAGGCACGTCGGCATCAGGGGAAGCAGGCGGGGGGCATGCCTCTATGCACTGCCGTAGCATGTCTATGAGTGCCGGGGAGAGGACCTGATGGGAGAGAATATGTGGGAGGAATGGTGGGTAGGGGAGAAGCAAGGAGGGTTAAAAAAAGCAGCCGAGGTGGGAACACAGACACACTCGCATCGGGGGAAGCAGGCGGGGGGCATGCCTCGATGCACTGCCGTAGCATGTCGATGAGGGCTGGGGAGAGCACCTGATGGGATGGAGGAAGAAGGGTGAAGATGAAATCTTTAGCAGCCAATTGATCTGATGAGGCGCCTTAATTATTGTGGACTATGGGGGACACAAGGAGACAAATGTTGAGACGTCTAAAAGGGGGATGCAAGAAGAATTCCGCAGCAGCAGCAGCGCCATACCTCTTTGAATTGCTCAAACAACAACAGCAGCAGAGCCTCAGCGCACGGCCGCAGCTTGTCCTTCCACTGCACTGCCCCTTGCTCGTGATAGAACACCTCTGGGTCGGACCCCCATTCTTCCAAGTCCCCTGCTGTCAGCACCAGATAGCTGTTAGCGAGAGAGGGGAGGGAAACAGATGATGAGAGGGAGAGATGGAGAGGGTACGAGGAGGGTCGCAGCTTGTCCTTCCACTGCACTGCGCCCTGCTCGTGATAGAACACCTCTGGGTCCGACCCCGACTCCTCCAGGTCCACTGGTGTCAACACCAGGTAACTGACAGGAATGGGTGAGAAGGGAAAGAGGGGGAGTTGAAGGTGTGAAGAACAGTGTCTCCTGCTTTTTGTTACCCCATCTGTGTCCCCACCCAGACGCTAAGGAGAGAAAAAGGAGGATTGGAGAGGGGAGAAGAAAGAGGGCCACAACTTGTCCTTCCACTCCAAGGCGCCTTGCTCGTGGCAGAACAGCTTAGGTGAGAAGCGGCACTCCACTCACCGTTGCACAAGCACTCCTCCCAGCAGCACCACTTTCTCCTGGGAAAAGAACCCCTGCAGCTGCTGTCGGGCCATGCCTGACAGCTTCCCCCTCATCTCCTCCGCTGATGCCACTGCCGCCCCCACCACGTGCCCCGTGGGGTTCTGCTTGTATGCCACACATCGCAGCACGCTCTGCAGAAACAGCATACACTCTATCAGAAACAGGCCGTGGCTGGAAGCTGAAGAGGAGGCGGACGCATCAGTAGCAGCAGCGGCGGCTGCGGCGGCAGTAGCGGGGGGTTGTGGACTGGTAGCAGCAGCAGGGGCGGAGAGGGAAGGGGAGGAGGAGGTGGGGTCGGTGGTGGTGATCTGTGTGTAGCAGAAGTCGAGGGTGGGTAGGAGGACGTTTTTGGAGGCGAAGGAGAAAGGGTGCAGCTCGTGGGAGGCGACGAGCGTCTTGAGCAGCTTGACTGAGGCGCGGGAGAGGAAGGTGTGCAGGGGTTGCAGGGCTGGGCGCTGCTGTGAGAGATTGCCTGGGTGGGAACAGGGAATTGGGAATGGAGCATAGGGACAGGGGTGTGGGGAAGGGAAGGGAACGGTTTGTTCTACTATGAGGTATCGCACAGCAAGGGGTGCAGCTCGTGGGAGGCGACGAGCGTCTTGAGCAGCTTGACTGAGGCACGTGAGAGGAAGGTGTGCAGGGGTTGCAGGGCTGGGCGCTGCTGTGAGATATTGCCTGGGTGGGAGCAGGGAATTGGGCATGGAGGAGAGAGATAGGGGTGTGGGGAAAGAGACGAGTGTCTTGAGGATCTTGACTGAGGCGCGGGAGAGGAAGGTGTGCAGGGGTTGCAGGGCTGGGCGCTGCTGTGAGATATTGCCTGGGTGGGAAGATGCAGCACAGGGTATGAACAGTTGAAGAGTAGTGCTAAGTCGACTTCAAAACGTGAACGAACTCAGAAATTTGTACATTTGTATCGTATGTATGTAATGTAAGCGATGTAAATCAGTAATAATGAGAAGGGAGGGAGATCGGATCCCACCGTTAGATAAGATTGGGACATGAGGGTAATCCGTTTCGTAACAATACCGTTTCGTACAGGTACATGGAATGATGCAACGGACAGACTGTGTGGGGGGGGGGGGGGGTTAGGGCTTACGAAAGTTGAGAAGGGATTGAGCTGCTTCAAGAAACGCTGGCACGACTTGTTCTAATACCGGGACCTCCTGTAAAGGGGATGTATGTTCGAAAGAGATGTGCAGAGAAACAGAGACAGAGGCAATTGCTCTCAGCTGCCTCTTTTTCTGAGAGACGGAAAAAAACGAAAAGGAGAATTATCTTTGGCAATGTTAGGCTGCTGAACAGAAAATGAACGAGCAAAACAGTGAAACAAGGTGGGCAGGCAGGAAGGAAGGAGGGTGGTGACACAAGGTGCTGGAAACAAAACACAAAGACCACGACACCTCCCCAGCGACTTACTTGCCTGAACGGATTTGAAATCAGAAGGAAAGCCAAACACCAGCATGCGACGGAGAGTCTTCACACACAACAGCCACCGCTCACACAGCAGCATCAGCGCCCCTCCTGCTGCCCCTGCCCCTGCTGCTGCTGCTGCTGCTGCTGCTGCTGCTGCTGCTGGGTCTGACCCTCCAGCCTCAAGGGCGGTTAGGCCCTGGAGCAGAGACCCTGTGTCTCTCACCCAGTGCGCCCAGGTGGGCTCAAACAGCTGGCTGGTCACCTGAGAAAAGGACAAAAAAATGTGGGGGAGGGGAGAGGCGGGAAAATTTTGAGAAAGGTGATCCTCGGTATTTTCTATCCTTGGTGTTACATCTTTTCACCTTCACCAACGGAGAGATGTAGTGTGTTTTGACGCTAGCTCTTACCTGAGTGAACGTGCACTGATCCACCACACCACACTTATGCGCTTAGTTGAAAGTTCATTAAGGCATGTGGTTAAGTACCTACCTAGCTTGGCTCTTACCTGAGAAAAGGTGTGTTGGTCCACAGTCAGGCGCTTGGTTGAGAGTTCTTTAAGTACGTGATTGAGAACCAGATAGGCACGCTGTGTGAGCAGAGGGTCCTGACTCTGAAGCTTCTGCAGGAGCGTGGGGAATAGCTCGGACCTGCCCTCGCATGCATGTGGCATGATGTGGGATCGCATGGCAGCACATGGGAACATATGGGATCAGACGGCACATGATTAAGCACAAAAAGATAGGTGCGCTGTGTGAGCAGAGGGTCCTCAGTCTGAAGCTTCAGCAGGAGCGTGGAAAATAGCTCTGACCTGACCTTGCATGCACGGCATGACATGATGTGGCAGCACATGGCATAATATGGCATTGCATGGCATCATATCATATGGAATCACATATGACATCACATTGCATCATATGGCAACACAAGGCATCAAAAGGCATCGTGTGGGATCGTATGGCATCACATTGCATGGCCATGGGTGTGAATGCATGGAATCCATGGTGAATCGTGATATGACAACCATGAATTGAAAATTCCGATGACAAATTGCGATGGAGTAGTGCATTACATTGCCACGCCAGCCAATCCCTCATACATACACCAACTCATCATTCACGCCCATCCCTCACCACTCGCGCCCATGTATGACTCACCAGTCCGTGGGGTAATCAACGCTGGCAATCTTAACAACCAGCACGGCGAGCCGCATGGCCACTTGGCTGTCCTCATCTGCCACTGGATCCAACAGCCAAGTGGCCATGCGGCACTTGGATCCAACAGCCAAGTGGCCATGCGGCACTTGGATCCAACAGCCTTGCTGGATGTGCGTAAGCCAAGGCCAAAACGCCCCACTTCACACCATTCACGCCCGTCCCTCCCTCACCATTCCCTGGGGTAGTCGATGCGGGCGATCTTAGCAATCAGCACGGCCAGCTGCACGGCCACCTGGCTGTTCTCGTCTGCTACTAGCTCCAACAGCCGCGCTCTCAGCACTGGCTTCTCCTCGTCTGATATGCCCCTGTGCGGGTGAGGCAATGTGGGTGGGAGAGGCGAGACAAAGGGTACAAGTTCTCTCTCTGCACCTCTCCTCTGTGACTCTCACGGCCACTTGACATGGCTGTTCTCATCTGCTACTAGCTCCAGCAACCGCGCTCTCAGCACCGGCTTCTCCTCGTCTGATATGCCCCTGTGCGGGTGAGGCAATGCGGGTGGGAGAGGCGAGACAAAGGGTACAAGTTCTCTCTCTGCACCTCTCCTCTGTGACTCTCACGGCCACTTGACATGGCTGTTCTCATCTGCTACTAGCTCCAGCAACCGCGCTCTCAGCACCGGCTTCTCCTCGTCTGATATGCCCCTGTGCGGGTGAGAGAGGGTGAGGGAGGTTGTGAGGAAGGGTGAGGTGAGGAAGAGTTTGAGGTAGGGTGAGGGAGGTTGTGAGGGAGGGTGCGTGGGAGCGTGTGAGAGAGGGTGTGAGGGAGGGGGGTGAGTGGGGGAAATGGAAAGGCCACAGGATGGTAGGAGGAAACAGGAACATTATGTGCTTACACGGGAGTGTGGCTCACTGCATCTCTCGCCTCGCCCGCCAGTATCTATTAATGCTAATCTTAAAATAAATGGCTGCCAGCCACCTGTATTGCAATTGGTCAATGACCAGATGTGCTTATAGGCGATCGAGTGTGACTCACTGTGTCTCTCGTCTCGCCCGCCAGTATCTGTTAATGCTGTTTTTGAAATAGATGGCCGCCAGCCACCTAGCTCCACCCTTCTGATCTAGCTCCTTGCGCGATATGATCTCCTGCCGGCATTTAGGGAGAGGCGGAGGGGAAAAGAGGGCTTCAGTGAAGGTCAAATGAACCGTCTCATGAATGCAACCGTCGCATGACAAGACAACAAAGATCTCATCTCAGGATAACGCTTCAAGCTCTGATGATAATGCTTCAAGCTCTGATGATAATGCTTCAAGCTCTCATGACGCTTCAAAATTAAGAAGGCAAGAGAGAGGGGGCCTCCATCTGTCGTACCAGGAGACATGAGCAGAAACCCACGCGGGTCTCGTACGCGTTAAGAGCCTGTTCCGCCTCTTTCCTTGTAGCCTCGTTAAGAGCTGCTTCTAACAGGTTGTAGATGGGTCCAGCATCTGCTGCGGTCAGCGCCATATCCGCAGCTCCAGCCCTTGATTAAAGAGGTGATCGGAAGAACCTTAAGCTGCTGAGCTGCAGCGTCCGCCGAACGATCAGACACTACAGCGGGAAATGAAAATGGCAATTGCGCGGATGAGCAGTCAGGAAATGCCTGCAGATGGTTGGAGTCGGTTCGGTGTGTGACTGAAACGAGCGCTCGTTAGGCACCCTCGGGGCTATGCTGGGTACACCATGGATTTCGGCGGAAGGAACCGGAATTCGACCAGATTACAATGGGACGGCGATCTAGGAATCCCAGGCAAATCCGATCAGGATGCGCGGACGTACCACTTTTGACTATCGACAGACCATGACACGCTGAAGGAACACGTCAAGGCTTAAAATGCCATCACACGCAAACTACAAGAGCCGTACCGGTAGGAGAATGAGAGGAGAAAGTGAAGGAAGAGGTAAGAGGGGCGAAGGGTGAGAATTGGGATGGGTGTGAGCTTCTAGATTGAAGGCTGTGAGAATGAAGTGGGAACACCAAGCATGGCTGATGAGATGGGTATGATGATACTCCGAATTCCGAAGGGCTAATATTTACCCCACAAAATGTTACGCTTGATTGTTCGTAGTTCTACAGCATCGACGCTCGTATATCATTTCTAGGCAGTCTATATGGGAGACACAAGCCTTGGTGGGCTTCCTGGCTCGGGTACGAGGCTAGCGCGAGCAGTTGGCCAAGAATGGAAGATTCGAAAGGGTGGTTTGGGTGTGGCGGACTCATCAAATTTGGGGAATTTGTCCCAAACGCTTGAACGGATTTGCCCAAATCGGAGGTTGAGTTTTGGGATAAGAATACACCTTTTCAAATCAGCGTTGACGCGTATCCATATTTTGATACACCGCAAATTCTCTGGGAAACCAAGGGCGACCAGAGAAGATAGGAAGGTGACTGGCGGGCAGGGGAAACGGGGAGGAGGGGAGGCTTGTCGCGGCCTCAGGGTCGGCTTGGTTTGGATGGACTCGATGAGAAAACTTTGCCGAGCCGTACACTGGATGCTCTCGGAGTCTCGTCCCTACCTCTCTCCACATCACTCTTCGGTTCGGCGAGCTACGTACCCATGAACAGTACGTCCAGGCCTGGCCTGATCCTTGCTTGGGCCCTCCCTGAGAGGCGCGCGCCTGGTGTCAACTGAACTAGCAAGTGCATCTCAATGCGGCTCAATGAGGCTTGATACGATGTAGAAAGGTTTATGAAGTTGTAGAAAGGTTGGATAGGGTATTCGGCAAAAACGTATTATCGGGACGTGCCCTGACGACTAATCTGATAACCACCTACCAACTGATTATCTGCACCCAATTCAGACTGCAGCTATGCAGAGAAGCCGCTGCTTAGAGTGTCCGTACCGTAGCAGGTTCACAGATGAGGCCGTTCGCTGATTCGACGTATTTATGCGAGCGAAAAAAACGCCTGTTGCGAGTTTCGGATAGTTGGCAAGGCGCGTTCTCGGTCGCGGGAAATGGAGGCACATGTAAGTGAAAGCATGCTTTTTATGCGGAAGACTCCCACACCAGACTCAGAGAGCTGATTAATCTGAGGGAGAATGCTAGAGCCTCAGAGGTACACTGAGCCGTTGCCGGGAACACTGAGACCTGGGGAAGTTTTTTCAGGTCGAAATGCGGTGAGCGAGAAGTCTAAAAAAAACTCACGTCTCAAGTTCCCGGCAATGGCTCAGTAGGTACTAGTCCCTTCCGGGAGTCCCGCTCTGGCTCCCATGCGCGTACTTCTTAGCTCCGCCGCTACTCCTGTCTTCTTGCGCCAGCTTTCTGCGGCGTTCTGAGACGTCTCGGAAGAGTTTTGAGACGTCTCAACATTTCAGACGCCTCAAAACTCTTTTTAGCTCCGCCGCTACTCCTTCCTTCTTGCGCCAGCTTTCCGCGGCTTTCCGCTTGAGGCGCTTTTTTGTTCTCCTTTTGTTGAGCTCGCGCCACTCTGATGCCTTGTGATGCCTTGTGAGCAGGACGGGCAGGAGGAAGGCAAATCGACGGGCAAGAAGCACAAAGATGGGAAGAAGAGCCATCGGGTCCGTCCACGTGCCCTCTCGCATTCTCCATTCAGTTCGTGTTCATTCCGCATTCCGCATTCCTTTTGCGCCCCAGTTTCATCTCCCTCGCACCCCGGTTACAACTCCTGTCCTGTTTCTCGCTCCAGTTACAACCATCTCTCCATCCACCCCCTCCCCCCATCCCCATTGCCTTCCCCCCTTCCACCCCGCTTTTTCCCTCCCTTATCATCCCAACCTGACCTACCCCGCGCACTCTCTCTCTCTCCGCCTACCTTCCACAGAAAGAGGCATTGGAGGAGATGCGGGTGGATGTAGAGCGGTTGAAAGGCGAACTTCAACAAGCAGGGGAGCAGCTCGCAGTGGCAGAAAAGGCGAAAACCGATTTGCTGGTTAAGTATGAGTGCGTGGAGAGGGAAAAGGTTACTTTGGAGGGGCGTTTGGAGGAGAGGGAGAAGGAAAGAGAGAGGGAGGGAGGGGTATTGGTTGGGAGGTTGGAGGAGTGTGAGAGGAGGTTGAAGGAGGAAGAGGAGGGGAGGAGGGAGGAGAAGCAGAAACGGAAAGAGGAGAAGGAGAAGCGGAAGGAGGAGGAGGGGAAACGGAAGGAGGAGAAGAAGAGGCGGAAAGAGGCGGAGGAGGAATTGGCACGTGTCAAGCAGCGATTGGAGGAAGCTGAGGCCAAATGTGAGAGGATCGAGGGGGGGAGTGCTGTGCTGAGAGGGCCTGCTGATGCAGCAGCAGAGGAGGGGAGCGGGTCAGTTGATAGAAGAAGAATTGAAAGGGAGGATGGAAGCAGCGTAGCAGATGACAGGAGTGATGAGGCGGATGGGACGGTAGCTGGGTTTGACGATGAAAGGGAGGCGAGTGCACGACTGAAAGACCTTGAACTGCGCGCTGTGAGAGCAGAGGGAGAGGCGGAGGGCTTGAGGCGTGAGCTGGAAGCTGTGAATGCCACGCTGGCAGACACAAGTGCCAGGCTGGCAGATACGAGTGCCAGGTTGGCAGATGCGAGTGCTGAGCTGGCAGGCTTGAAAGGACGGGAGACAGACGCACAGGCAGGTGTGGATAAGTGCGGAGAAAAAGGAGTGAGGGAGAAGGGAAATAGGGAGGTGGGGGGAAGCTGGGAGCAGGTGGAACAGAGGTTGAAAGAGGCAGAAGCACAGAGGGATGCTGCAGAGAAACAGAGGGAGGAGGCGGAAAGACAAAGGGAGGAGGCAGAGAGGCGAAAGGAGGAAGCAGAGCGGGAATGGAAGGAGGCGGAGAAGGGACGAGAGGACGCAGAGGAAAGAGTGAAGGGCCTTGAGGGTCGCCAGAAAGTTGCAGAGAGGTCAGCAGCAGGAGACACTCTGGGTTTGAATGTGAATGCCGCGCGTGACTCATTCGGTGATAACAATGCGGGAGGTAGAGGGAGTGAACAAAGGAAGGAGGAGCATGGGAAGAGCTGGAAGGGGGTTGTGGGAGAGAGGGAGAGTGTGGAGGGAAACATGAATGCCGAAGTGGAGTGCTTCAAAGAGCCTCAGAAGGTGGAAGTGTTGCTTCCCAAGACACAATTGTCACCTGGAAAGACATTTCCCGAGATGGACCGCGAGGCAGAGCTTGAGTTTCTGCGCAACCTGCGGGAAGATCTGGAGAGGGAGTTGGACTCTCTACGCATTCAACTCGATTGCAAGTCACAGGCCCCTGTTGCTGATTTGGATAAGGCTTGTCTCGAAGCTGGGGGAGACCAGAGTAGGAGCCAGCCTACCAACAGCACCTGTGGCTGCACGTGTTGCAGCAGCTGTAGCTGCGGCTGTAGCACCAGGAACGCCAGTACCAGCACCGCCACGAACACCACCAGGAGCATCGCAGAAGCAGAAGCAGAGATCGAGCGACTGCACGCCGTGAGAGGAGACCTAGAGAGGGAGCTTGAGGACTTGTACCTGGAGTTGCAACGGGAGCAGGAGCTCTCAGCTGAAGCAAGCCTTTTAGCTGAGAAGGAGTGGGAGCGGCGACAGGAGGCAGTGAAAATGCTGTCTCAACTAGAGAGGCAGCTAGGGGAGGCGTTTGGAGGGGCTGTGGCGGAAGGGGGGGTGGTGGTTGATGCTAATGGAAGGCCGATGTCGCCGCTAGTGGGGAGTTTGAGTGGGTCGGGAGCGGTGGGGAGGAAAGGCAGGGGAGGGGGCGTGGGAGGGGTGTTTGTGTCGCCGCTTGGCGGGCCGCGATTGGAGGGTTCTGATGGGGAGGAAAGCTGGCCGTTTTTGTGTGGTGGCGAGGTGGCGGAGGGAGCAGAGGGGGGAGCTGAGGAGGGGGAGATGGGAGGGATGAGAAGGGTGCTATTTGGAATAGAGGAGCGTGGGGAGGAAGAGGGTGCTTCAGCCGGAGAAGAAGAAGAACCAGGTTCTTCGCTTGCCACAGCAAGCACAGGCACAGGCACCAGCAGAGCAGCAAGTGTAGTAGAGCGGCTGAGCTTAGAGAAGGAAGAGAATTACAGAAGGGAAGGGGAGGGAGTTGAGGGGAAGAATGAGGACGGTGACTGGGATGAGATCTGGAGTGAAGGAGACGATGAACAAGAGCTTGAGGTGGGGCGTGGGGAAGGGGAGAGGGGTGGGGAAGGCCAGAGGCAGGAAAGGGAAACGGAGGGGGCAGAGAAGAGGGAGGAAAGAAGGATAGGGCAGTCTTGCCGGATGGACTGGCCTAGGTCACTCACGGATAGTAGACTAGATCCTCACGGATGTAGTGAGGATCCAAGTCTCACTGATGCACACGACCCTGAGCCAAGTCACACCTGCAGTTCCCGGCCTCTGCTGCACATTCACCCTCCCCCTCGCATGTTCCCTAGAGCCACATCCGATTTAGTCACCTATGTGAGAGACGCTAAGGCTGCGCTGGGGCAACCCTCCTCCCCAGGGGAAGACGAGTTTTTCAGCACCAAATTGCCGGAATTGAGGAGGAGAATGACTGGTGAGGGGCCTCAAAACTCGCCTCGTAAGTCTGCCTCTTCTGCAGAAGACGAGTTTTGTAGCACTAAGTTGCCGGAATTGAGGAGGAGAATGACTGGTGAGGGGCCTTACAAGGCATCTTCTCCTCATGAAGACGAGTGTTTCAGTGCTAAGCTGCCGGAACTGCGGAGGAGAATGAGCAACTTCTCGCCTCTGCACTCACCCCTGGTTCATTTACGGGGGATGCAGTTGGATGGGGATGCTGAGGTGGTGACCGCAGCAGCACCTGGCGCTGGGGGTGCAGGCGGCGCAGATGGAGACGGTTCAGGTGTTTCTGTTGTTTCAGGTGCTTCATCAGGTGAAAACGACACTCCTGGCTGTCGCGTAAAGTCTCGTCTAGCTAGTGTGGCTGAATGCAGTGGTGATAATAATGATAAGCATGAGGAGGAGGCGGAGGAGGAGGAGGTCAAGAGGGGAATGGAAGGGGAGGCGGAAAGGAAGAGTGGGGAATTCGCCCATTGGGATGGGCAGGAGCAAGGGGGTGAAGGTGGAGGAGGAAGGAGCGTCGCAGCTGTTGCTATGGAAAACGGTTTAGGTGAAGTTGATGGGAAGGACTGGGAGAGCGGAAAAGAGGATGCGAGTGAAGGAAGAGAAGATGTTTCAGCAGCAGTAGTAGCAACAGCGGCAGCAGGAGCAGGAGCAGCAGTAGTGGCATCGGCAGCAGCAGGAGCAGCGACAGTTGTAGTTGCCTCACCGTGTGCACCTGTTAATGTGCCTCAAATCACCCCACACACGGATTACAGCAGCCTAGAGACGACTCATACCAGCAGCCCAGACACAGCTCCTGACATCACCCACAACTCCTTCTCATTCTTAGCTCCTGCCAGCCCCCATCCTGGCAGTATAGGCTCTTCTCTCCACAAGGCCTTCCGCCGAGCCTCCACCTACTCAGGCCGAGCCTATCCTGATCCGAACCTGTCCTCTTCCTCTACTACCACCACCCTCCTCTCCTCCCACTCTGCTCGTGATATTTCCTTTTCTGAAGGGCCCTCCTCTCCCACACCCACCAGCAAAGAACCCCCCTCTCCCACCGCTAAAGGACCATCGCCCCTCACCACCTCATTTTCAGCGCTTGATGAGGCTTCCTCTCCCAACGCAGCTAGAGCAGTCTCCTATTCAGGGCAGCCCTTTTCCTATGCCAGTCAGATAACAACCGCTCCTAGGGAAGCCCCAGGTATGCCTTCAGGGGGTTTCAACAGAGCGGTTTCCTTCACAGGGGGTTTCAACAGAGCGGACTCGCACTCAGGTGCTTTTAACAGAGCAGGGTCTTACTCAGGTGGTTTCAACAGAGCTGGTTCAGATGTGGGGCTGCTGCTCACCTTAGGGGGACCATCAGGGGGGGAGTTTTCAGGAGCAGAGACGACAACAGGGGGAGCAGATGACAGAGATAGAGACAGAGAAGACTTGGAAGAATCTGGGAGAGGAGAAGAAGAGGAGGAGGAGGAGGAGGAGGAGGAGGAGGAGGAGGAGGAGGAGGAGGAGGAGGAGGAGGAGGAGGAGGAGGAGGAGTTAGTAGATGTAGGGTTGGCAGATGAAGACTACAATTGGGGTGACTCTATTTACAGTAAGCAGCAGCTTTTAGCTAAGCACCAGGGTGATTTTCTCCACGTGTTGCTGCAGATGCTACAGCTGGCAGTGGCGAAGCGGGAAAGCGAGTTAGTGTCAGCCTCTGCCGCCGCTACAGCTGCTGCTACAGCCGTCTCGGCAGCTGAGAGGGAGAAAGCGGAGTGGGAAGTGGAGCAGGTGGTATCAGCAGTGTTCAGGGAGGTCCATAACGTGTTGCATGTGAATGGCGTTGGCAGGGTGAGGAGAAAATTCCGAGGGGTGGCTAAGGAAGGGAACGCAGCAGCAACGGCTGCTGCTGCAGTGAAAGAGGATCTCGAGCTTCTGGTCCGGGCAGTTGAAGCAAAGGCTCGGGCAGCCATGAGAAGAAATGCGGCTGGCCTGGTCCCTCCTGCTCCCAGAAGGCTTGTCAAGGATGGGAGTGGGGGTGAGGGGCGGAGAGGAGGAGAAAAAAGTGGCGGAGGAGGGTGGGGGGTGAGCAGCGGCAATGGCATGTGGAGCATTGGTCAGAGTCTCCAGTCGGCTGCTTTGGCTATAGCTCGCTCTCCCTCTGTTGCTGGTCCCTCTGTTGCCAGTACTCCTAGCATGAGTAGATCAGTGTCTGCTGCCGAAGCTCCTTCTGTTGTCTACTCAGTCGGGGCACACAATGCCTCACTAAGTATCTACAGGTCAGCTTCGGTGGCTACTACTGAGGCCTCCACTGCTGGTAACACGCCCGTTGCGCATGCGGTTACCATCGCCCGAACCTCGTCCGTAGCCTCGGGAATGTCCACGGATGGTAACACGCCTGTGGCTCGGGCTGTAGGGGATATGTCAGGAGGAATGTCAATGTCCCATGGGGGAGCGGTTCAGATGGATGGTGTATCAGGAGGAATGGGTGGAGAGCGGTCGAGCGCTCTGACCATCTACAGGACGCCGTCTATGGCTGAGATGTCGACTACTGGTAACACTCCTGTTGCGCATGCGGTTACCGCGTCATTTGTTAGTGGGTTCAATGTATCTGGTCTCCTCGGGATGGCTTCAGCAAGGCTAGCTGCTGCAGCCACCTCTGCTGCTTCTGCTGCTGCTACTCCTGCTGCTACTCCTGGTGCTGCTGGTACTGCTGCTGCTTTCTCTACAACCGGTAACACACCTGCTGCTTCTACTGCTGGTAACACTCCCATCGCCCAGGCCTTAGGGAGTCCGAACCAGTTTGCTAACGGTCGAGTGTCGCCGGTAACCACCCCTGTAACCGCGGATGCTTCGACTGGGGGTAACACGCCGGTCGCGCAGGCGGTTACCACAAGCGGCGGCGGTAACACTCCCGTCGCACGACCGGTGAGATTAAGGGAAGGAGAGAGGGCGGAGCAGGAAAGGGGGGCAGCAGAGGAGAAGGAGAAGGAGGCAGGCAGAGAGGAGGAGCGTGGGAAGGAGAGAGGGGAAGAGCGGGAGATGGAGGAGGTTCTGTTTGTGCGTGAGGTGGTAGCAGGAGATGTGGTGGTACACCACCATGTGGACTCGCTAGCTCGCTCCTTCACCCCTGCTGCCTCCAACTCCGCTTATGAAAATTCTCAAGAGAGATTGAATGCTATGGAGCTGACGCAAGCATCCCCGGCTGTTCTGGCACCAGAGACCAGGCAGGGAGAAGAGGAACAGCCGTTTATGCATCCTCCGGTCAGGCAGGAAGAGTGGGAGCGGAGGCGCAGGAGGCAAGACGACTCGTTGCACCAGCTACCTGGATTCCAGGCAAGACAGGAAGCATGGGGGAGCCGCGAGGCAGCTACCAGGCTGGATAGAGAAACCCCTGCCAGGTTGGATAGAGGGAGAAACCAAAGCCTGGAGGAAGAATATTCCCAGCCCGCTTCAAGGCTAGACGCCCACCCCTTGCCTGCCCGCCCCATAGGCAGTCATCATGACTCTGCTGCCCGGCTGGATAGAGGCAGAAACCAAAGCCTGGAGGAGGAGTATTCCCAGCCCGCTTCAAGGCTAGACGGTCTGGATGGCCACCCCTTGCCTGCTCGCCCCATGACCGCTCAGCCCAGAGGCAGGTCGACTTATGAGCCATCTAGAAGAGCGATTAAGGGCTTCCCTGGAGGTGGGAGTCCGCATGTTCACCCCTGGGGGTGTCAAGAGCAATCCGCGAGGCTGGATACAGGGAGGGGACAGAGGGGACAGAGGGGACAGAGGAACCAAAGGAGCCAAAGCCCTGACGAATACCACCAGCCAGCAGCTACCAGGTCAGATGCTACCAGACCAGATGTGCACCCCTGGGGGAATCAACGTGCGCCAGCTGCCAGGCTGGATACTGGGAGGGGCCAAAGGAGCCAAAGCCCAGACGAATACCACCAGCCGGCCGCTACCAGGTCAGATGCTCAAGCTCACCCCTGGGGGGGTCACCATGATCCAGCAGCTGCGAGGCTGGATACAGGGAGGGGTCAAAGCTCGGACGAATACCAGCAGCCTGCAGGTACCAGGCTGGATTCTCAAGCTCGCCCCTGGGGGAGTCACCATGATCCAGCAGCTGCGAGGCTGGATACAGGGAGGGGCCGCGAATACCAGCCACAGCCGCTTGCGCGGGGGGGTCGTGAGGGAGATGGGGCTACCAGTCTGGATAGGAAAACCCCTGTCCAGCTGGATAGAGGGAGGAATCGAAGCGTTGAGGAGGAGTATTCCCAGCCAGGTACGAGGTTGGATGGTCTAGATGCCCACCCCTTGCCTGCTCGCCCCATGACCGCTCTGCCTAAATCCAGGTCGACTTTTGAGCCGGCTCGAAGAGCGATTGCGACTGACGCGATTCTTGAGACGTCTCAAGAGCGGATTAGAAGAGCGATCGCTTTTGAGGCGCCTCAAGAGCCGACTCATAGAGCGATCGCTTCGCCCCAAAGGATGCCTGCTCGCCCCATGACCGCTCTGCCTAAGTCCAGGTCGACTTTTGAGCCGGCTAGAAGAGCGGTTGGGGGCGGGGATAGCAGTGGGAGTGGGAGGGCGAGTGCTCTGCTGTACAGACCTGGGGGTCAGAGAGGGGGAGTGTGGGGTGCGGGGGGACGCGGAGGAGGAAGGGGAGGAGGGAGTGGAGGAGGGAGGGCTGGTAGGCAGGAGGAGCGGAGCACAGGCACAGGAAGAGAACGGATACAAGGAAGGGGTGACCAGGGTGATTCAGCTCTTTTACCTCTAGACTCTGGTGTACCGGACCGAACCGCTCGGGGTGGGACCGAGGCTAGTGGTTTGGCAAGTAACCGGCAGGTTCGGCAAGGGAAAGTTGGGGACGGTGCGTCTGTTTCTCAAGAGCCGCAGAAAGGGAGTGCTAGAGATGGTGTGGTGGAGACTTTGCTTTCCGAAGCTGCAGCAGCAGCACAGGGCACTGTTAGAGACATTGTGTCTTTCTGGGCGGCAGGTTCTGCAGCTAAGTCTGTAGCAGGGGCAACAGGTGGTGCAGCAGGTCGTGAGTCTGTAGCGGCTGTAGCAGCAGGAGCGGGTACTGTAGCACTGCCACGGAGGCCCGCTACAGCCGCAGCGGGCGGCAGGGATCGTCCTGTAGGGGGCTGGCAGGGCTGGGGGATGGGAGAGAAAGGAGAGGGGTTGGGTGGAGTGGGGATGGGTGATAGAGAGGAAAGCATAGAGCAACCGTGGGGCAGCAAGGCGCAGGTTCAAGAGTCAGGAAGGCAGATGGGAAGGGAGCAGCCATGGGGCGGGTCGTATCGAGATAGAAAAGGCTTGGTTGATAGAGGCGGAGCGGAGGAGAGGAAAGGTGGGGCAGATGTTTGGACTCTTAAGGAAGAGGAGGTGGCAGGGGAGGTGGACGGGGAGGAGGGTAAGGAGGAGGACGAGGAAAGTGGTGAAGGGAATGTGCGTGTGAAGCATGAGAGGAGACCACAGCAGCAGCAACACCAGCAGCAGCAGGAAAACTCTTCATCCGCTGCTGCTCCGGGTCTTTTTGCAAGTTTCCTGCCCAAGTCAGCATCCGTCAGTCACGTTCGACGGGCGAGCATTCAGATATTTGATTCGCTCACACACCTCACGTTTGGCTCTTCTTCTCCTGCTGTGCCTGCTGCTACAGCCACCGCTACAGCCGCTGCCACCCCTGCTACAAGTGCTGCTGCCACCGCTGCTACACCTGCTGCTTTACCTGCGATTGCAGAAGCAACCACGACAGGTGCTGCCTTCGCTGGTGCTGCTGCTGATGACTCTGCTGCGGCTGCTCCAGGCACAGCAGGTGACATAGCGGGTCCGTCACACTCCCCGTTGCTTGGTCCGTCTGGGGTTGTAGCAGCTGTGGCAAGGGCTGCTGCTACCACCCTTGCAGCAGCTACAGGTGTTGGCGCTGGGTCTCATGCTGGTGCACCCGGTGCCACCAGTCCTGTTTTGCCAGGTGCTTTTCCAGGTGCTTTTCCAGGTAGATCTCCGTTGGTTTCCCCAAAAGCCAAACCTCATCACGGGATCGTGACTGTGGGGAGCTTTGTTGAGACGGAAACAGGGGTTTCGGAATGGCTGGTTGGAAAGGTGGAGACGTTGACAGGGGCGGGGCAGAGAAGGGGAGAGGAAGAGAGGAGGGTGGTTATGGAATGGACTCAGGAGCTTGAGGAGGAAGGGGAAGAGGAGGAGAGAGCGTTGCGGGAGAGAGCGAGGGAGAGGAGGGAAAGGGAGGAGAAGGAGAGGGAGAGAGAGGAGGAGAGGAGGAGGAGGGTGGAGGAGGTGAGAAGGAAGATGGAAGCAGCTAGTGAGGAGAGGAGGAGGAGGGAGGAGCAGGAGCAAGGAGGGGTTGTTGCAGGGGAGGAGGGGATTGACGAGCAAGAAAAGAGAAACGGATTGGGTGTTGCGGCTGGAGAAGGGAAGGATAGGAAAGGAGGAGTTGAGGGGAAGAAGGGAGGAATGGAGGAGAAAGGAGGAGTGGAGAACCTAGGGAGGCCATCAGCAGTTGTGGTGAAGGAAGAGAGTGAGTCAGGTTTAGAGGGACGAGGTGTGCAAAAGGTGTTGGTAAAGCGAGGTTCGATGAAAGGGGAAGCGAGGGAAAGTGAGAGCTCGAGTGAGAGAGAAGAAGGATGGAGTGACATGGAGGAAGAGGAGGAAGAGGGAGAGGAAGAGGAGGAGGAGGAGGAGGAGGGAGAGGAGGATGAGGAGGAGGATGAGGAGAAAGAAAAGGAGGAAGAGGAGGGAGAGGAGGAGGTGGAGGAGGATGAAGCGTCGTGGAGTGCTGATGACGATAATGGAGATGCTAATAGCGAGGATGCTGATGCTGGGTCTACAAAGGAGGAGGCTGGGAGGACGGAGAATGGGGAGGATGGGAAGAATGAGGAGGAAGTTGAGAAGGTAGAGGTGGAGAGAGGGAATGACGACCCAGAGGAGAATGACAATGTGGAGGGAGGAAGTGGGGGGAAGGGGGAAGCCATGGATAGGGATGGTGATGGTAATGATGATATTGGCAATGGTGGTGATGGTGATGATGATGGTGGGGATGCTGATGGTGAGGAATTGTGGAGTGATGTTGATGTTGATAGTGATGATGCTGGTGGTGGGGATGGAGGGGAGCTGGGCAATGAAGGGAAGGAGGAGGGGTGGAACGAGAAGAGGGATCGGGTGGAAGAGCAAAACGAAGCGTCTTCTTCTGAGGTGCCTCGAGAAAACGAGTGGAGTGAGAAAAAGGATGGGGCGATAGAGCAAAAGGAAGAAGCTGTATTTGAGGTGCCTCAAAAGAACGAGGAGGGACGGAGTGAAAAGGAGGATGGGAGGGAGGAGGATGAGTGGAGTGGGATTGACGAGGGTGAAGCAGAGGAAGAGGATGGGCCAGAAGAGCAAAAGGAAGAGCCTGTTTCTGAGGTGCCTCAACAGAACGAGGAGGGATGGAGTGAGAAGGAGGATGGGGCAGAAATTTCAGCACCCGCGATTTTGCAGACACCTGGCAGCATGATAGGTTCTCCTTCCCTGGTCGGGAAGATTTCTGAGGCGCCTCTACAGCCTGGCAGCATGCTTGGTTCTCCTTCCTTGGTAAACACGGGGTGTGAGGCACCTCAAACACCTGGCAGCATGATAAGTTCTCCTTTCTTGGCAGCGGCAATGGGAGAGGCGCCTCTGCAGCCTGGCAGCATGCTTGGCTCTCCTTCCTTGGGAGAGGAAGGACCGGGGAGCAGATTGGAGCAAGGGAAAGAGCAGGAGGAGGAGGAGGTGGAGGAGGAGGTGGAGGAGGTGAAGGAGGGGAGGGACCAGGACGAGTGGAGTGGGGTTGATGAGGACGATGAAGGGGATGATGGGCCGGAAGTGCAACACAAGGAGCCTCAAGAGAACGAGGAGGGATGGAGTGAGAAGAAGGATGGGAGGGAGGAGGATGAGTGGAGTGGGATTGACGAGGGTGAAGCAGAGGAGGAGGATGGGTCGGAAGAGCAACACAAGGAGCCTGTTTCTGAGGTGCCTCAACAGAACGAGGAGCGACGGAGTGAGAAGGAGGTTGGGAGGGAAGAGGATGAGTGGAGTGGGGTAGATGAGGGTGAAGCAGAGGAGGAGGATGAAGGGGAGGAGGATGGGTCGGAAAAGCAAAACAAGGAATCTGTTTCTGAAGTGCCTCGAAAGATCGAGGAGGGACGGAGTGAGAAGGAGGATGGGAGGGAGGAGGATGAGTGGAGTGGGATTGACGAGGGTGAAGCAGAGGAAGAGGATGGGCCAGAAGAGCAAAAGGAAGAGTCTGTTCCTGAGGTGCCTCAGCAGAACGAGGAGGGATGGAGTGAGAAGAAGGTTGGGAGGGAGGAGGACGAGTGGAGTGGGGTTGATGAGGAGGATGAAGGGAAGGAGGATGGGCCAGAAGAGCAAAAGGAAGGGTTTATTTCTGAAGTGCCTCAGACGGACGAGGAGGGACGGAGTCAGCATAGGGAGGGGAGGGAAGAGCAAAGTGATGAGGTGCCTCCAAAGAATGACGAGGGAAACAGTGAGAAGGAGGATGGGAGGGAAGAGGATGAGTGGAGTGGGGTTGATGAGGAGGATGAAGGGGAGGATGGTATTGACTCTGGTGATAGCTTGGGGAGTGAAGCGGAGGAGGGAGGGAGTTGGGAAGGAGGGGTAGAGAATAAGATGGGTGATGAGGATAGTGAGGGTGGGAGTGGGAGTGGGAGTGAGAGTGAGAGTGGGAGTGGGAATGGGAGTGGGAGTGAAAGCAGGAATGGGAGTGGGAGTGAAGTGGAGGAAAGCACACTAGACATGAGCAGTGTTGGTACCATGGAACTGGAGGGAGGGAGTGACAAAGAGGAGAGTGAAGCGCAAGGGAGTGAAACGCAAGGGAATGAGGTGCGAATGAGTGATATGCAAGTGAGTGAGGTGCGAGAGAGTGATGGGGAGGAGAGCACTCTAGACATGAGCAGTGTTGGTACCTTGGAGCTGGAGGGAGAGAGTGACGAAGAAGAGAGAAAGGCACGAGAGAGTGAGGTGGGAGGAAGTGAGGTGCGAGAGAGTGAGGTGGGAGGAAGTGAGGGCCTAGGGAGTGGTGGGGAGGAGAGCACTCTAGACATGAGCACTGTTGGTACGATGGAACTGGAGGGAGGGAGTGAGGAAGAAGAGAGTGAAGCACGAGGGAGGGAGGTGAGGGAGAGTGAGGGAGGGAAGTGCGAAGAGGAGAGTGAGGGAAGGGAGGGTGAAGAGGGGGAGAGTGAGGAAAGGAAGTGCGAACAAGGGGAGAGTGAGGAAGGGGAGTATGAAGAGAGGGAGAGTGAGGGAGGGAAGTGCAAAGAGGAGAGTGAGGAAGGGAAGTGTGAAGAGGGGGAGAGAGAGGGAGGGAAGTGCGAAGAGGGGGAGAGTGAGAGAGGGAAGTGCGAAGAGGGGGAGATTGACAGAGAGAAGTGTGAGGGAGGGAAGAGTATGGAACGGCGGGAGCAAGACGACAGGGATGGAGAATGGAGCAAGCAGGGTGAAGCGATCAAAGGAAACATCACTAATGATCTCGATTCTCCTAAAATTAGCAAAATTAGGACGGCCAAGGAAGTAAGTGGGGACCACGATGATGCCAGCTCTCCCGAAATAGCTGCAACAATTTCTGCAGCTGACGTGGCAGATCGGGTTGTCGCTGTGCCTGAAGCAGATCGTGTGGATGCGGTCACTGACGTGAAAGTCGCTGACGTGGAAGTTGCTGACGTGGAAGTCGCTGACGTGGAAGTCGCTGAAACAATCGAGGATGGTCTTGATACTCTCAAGATTGGCACAGCCATTGAAGCTGCACCAAAGCCTGCTTCTCCGGGAGGAGGGGGCCACAATGACGCCAGCACTTTCGAAGAAGATGCGCCAAAGCCTGCAGCTGACGTGGCAGATCGGGTTGTCGTTGTGGCTGAAGCAGATTGTTTGGATGCGGCTGCTGACGTGGATGTGATTGCTGATGTGGAAGGTGCCGACATGGAAGGTGCTGACATGGAAGGTGCTGACATGGAAGGTGCTGACGTGGAAGGCGCTGACTTGAAAGGCGCTGATGTGGAGGGCAATGATGTAGAAGGCACACCGGCTGGATTGTTGGGCTCAGTCAGCTGTTCAGCTAATGTTCCCAAGCCAGATGTGGCAATTGAGCCAACTGGAAAGAGGTGAATAGAAGAATGTAGCAGAGGGCTACAGGATAAACCTGAGATTCTGAGGTAAGAGAGAAACGAGTGAGGGTGAATAAGGGTGGAAAAGCAGGTGGGATGAAACGCTGCAGAAAGAAAGGAGGAGCAATGAGTGTCTGTGTGATCCAAGAATCAAGATGCCTACAGGGGATCTCCCAGATAGATTTAGGGTTAGGTAGGTAGTGAAAATAAGGCATCAACACACAACCATAGATTTTTCTTATTTTGTGCTGTATATTTTTTCCTAAACCCCGTATTCAGCCAATAGCTTGGGTAGGTTCATGCTGTTTTTCATCAGGCTCGTAAACTTCATGCTCCTAAAGTTGGGTCGCAACTGTGTTGTAGCATCTGAAGTATCTGCCCTCTCCAGTTATATGTGGCACTAATAAGTCTCTCTTGGCCGAGTCTCCTAAAGGAGAAGCTGCAGGCGTGTATAGGGGTGCACATGGAGCCCCTCTTCCAAGGCGCAATGCTTTTGATTGGACTCAAAACCGCGTGTAATGAGTCTGCTTTTGAGTCGGTTCGAAAGAAGCTGCACGTGTGTATGGAGGTGCACAAAGAGCCCCTCTTCCTAGGCGCAATGGCCCGCATCCCGCCTCCCTTAGTGTCTCAATTTCAGCAGCTGTAGCCCTCTATTGGGCCTTTAAGAACTATAGCCTTGCGATAGCAAAAAATTGAACTTGTAAAACTGTTTTTGAGGCATCTTCATAACACTATTGCAATTTGTAACTGCGTCTTCTACACCCATGAAAGCTGAGAGCTTTCTTATCTATGTCTGGCTTTCTGACCAACACCCAACTTCCAAAACAGGCTTGTCTGATTGGCGCTTTCCTAGTACGGTGAATTAGTTCGGCCAAGGTTAGGGCCACACCTCTCCAGCCATCGGCCCTATCACGCCAGCTTTTCGGTGTCCAGACCTGCGCCAAAACCTGTCAGGGCCAGGCCAGTAAGGCACTCTTGGGTTTCCCGCGCAGCTAAGGTCACAGGCTCGTCAGTGAGCCGAACCAGCTACCAGACCAGAGCTTCAACCCCGTGCCGAGCCGCTCTTCTCTGGTCCGGAAGCCTAGATGTTGGCTCATCTTTTGTTGTGGGTCGCGTGAAAGCAAGAGAGACAAGTAGCAAGAATTCGAGAACTTTTCTCATTTGAATCGCTAAATGTGTTATGGTTAGTTCTGAGTCCACTCCGCAACACCGAGATTCTTGTTTGCGAGAGTGAAGTTCAGTGAGCAGAGCTGACGAGCAGGTTTGGGATGGCGGATTGCTGTCGGAGCTCCCGTGATAGGGATATGTAAATATCCTCCGCTAGATAGATCGCGTAGACTATTACGAGATCAGATTCGCATCATGGCGAGTGCCGTTCCTACGAGGAAACACAACGTGACGGTCAGTCCTAGCATGAGCAAGAATCACTTTTGGCCGTTTAATGCACGCGGCAGCTACAGAAGCTTTGCTTGTAATGATTGGTCTGTGTTCTCACGCATGTGCTCGAAGAACGGGTCGTGGCGAAGAACGTCGAAATGGTTACTTTTAGTTACATTCGTTAGCGTTGTTCTCATGATTCATGAAGCTCGGATGACCGGCACAGAAGACAGCACAACGGTTTCGTTTTTCTCTCAACGGGTTCTGCCGGGGAGAATAGGACATGGAGTGAATGAGGAGGATTGGAGCGTGAGCAACACCACTCCTCATCCAGACATTGTTGTCTGGGCTAAGGTTCGTCCTCAAGGCCTGTTGCACTTTTCCACAACTTCAGATTCTGAAATTGAGAATGTTATTTATATAGCCATAAGTTTCACAGTTTCTATTGAGTTTTTGAAGATACCCAGAGCCCTGCTGTTAACCACATTGTTCCAATTCAGGCAGTCGCTCGTACTTATGCTTGCATTCATAATCTACCCTGTCTCCCTCTTCTTCTCCTCCAATCTCAAGGTCTGCTTCACGAGCGACTGGAAGCGGTGTGTGGGGGTAAATCTCTGCGGTGTGTAACTGACATTGTGTTCTCAAATGTTATTCATAAGCTCACCAGTCTCTTTCATTGATTCTTCCACTCTCAGGGTCTGCTTCACGAGCGGCTGGAGGCGGTGTGTGCGGGATACGCGCTGCACCAGCTCCTATCGTCCAAGCTCTCCCCCGCCGAGCCTAGTAACTTCGCACAAGAATCACAACAACTGCAACAAGCGCCGTTACGGCTGGCCGTGTTGTGGCTGCCAGATGCAGGCATGCCGCACGCCACACTCAACCACGTGCTGGGGCCTCTGCCTCGCCCCAGCGCGCTCTCCTCTCCGCAAGGCTCTCAGCAGCAAAACGATGGGCAGCAGCAGCAGCAGCAGCAGCAGCAGCAGCAGCAGCAGGGGTCCGCAGCAGCAGACGGGTCGTCCTCCAGTGCATCTGACCCGTCTGATGAGACTCTGGTGCTGCTGCATCACCCCAGTTGGCTCAACTCGCCGCTCTACACCTATGGGGTATGTGTTCTTATAGAGACGCGTTGACATGCAAGCTTGTGTTGATTGTTTTTGTCTCCTTTCCGGCAGCGATATGCTGTGTGCGCACATGTGTTCACCATGTGTCTTCCACGTGTTCGTTTTCCTGCATTTCCCAACAGACCCTCAACTCGAAGATCCCTCAACCAATATCCCAAGAGCAGTTGCAGCAGCAGCAAGAGCAACAGCCTGTAAATCTTACTTCTTCCTCTTCTTCCTCGTCAACCTCCTCCTCCCCCTCTTCCTCCCACCCTTCTCGCCGCCTGCACGTCAATTTCTTCCTCTCAGCCTCCCTCCCTCCCATGGCCTCCGCCCTTGCTGACGTGGACGGCTCCTCCCAGCTCGACACCTCCCTCCAGCGCTGCTACAGCCTGCTACAGCCGTCCACAGCCGTGCAGGAGCTCATAGCCAAGGAGAACATGACACGTGTCCAGCAGAGCACAGCAGTGTACGTAGAGCCGATTGCACTCTCTCTCCCCTCCTCCTATCCTTGCTCTAGCTGCGACCCAAAATTTGCTGTCAACTGCACTACACGCCGCCTAATGTGGTTTTTTCTCGGGCAGCCCGAAGGCGACGCTACAGTTGTGGGCTTCTGGCCGTCTCAGGCTGTAGCCGTGGCAGAAACTTTCCATGAGAACCGCCAGCCGCATTTGCTAGAATCCACGCGACGCCGTGCGCAGCAATGCGAAGGCGGTAACCGCAAAGCCAGTGGTAACCGCTTGAAGGACGGTAACCGCATTGGGGGTGGATATGTAGCGCCGCCTATTATCTCCCCCGGGCTGACTGTGAGGCAGCAGACGGCTAAGTGGATGTGGTGGCTTGGATTGGCAGATGGTAGAGATTACTACACCATGGGTACAGGGGGGTTGGGAGGAGGAGCGCGAGGAGGAGTGGGAGGAGAAGTGGGACTGGAAATGGGGAGAGGAGGGGCGAATGGGACTGGCGAGTCGGCTGGTGGAACAAGGCGGCTGCTTTTGTCTGGTAGTGTAGCGAGTGGTAGCAGCAGCAGTTGGACAAGGCGTAGGCTAGAAGTCCAATCATATCCAGAGCGAGAACCAGGAGCATTAGCATCCCTACCATCACTATCACCTGCTGCAGCAGCAGTATCAGCCGCAGCAGCGGCAGTGTCAGACGAAGGAGCAGCAGTATCGGACAAAGCAGCAGTACCAACCACAGCAGAAGCAGTATCGACCACAGTGGACGCAGCATCAACCACAGGCGAAGCAGCATCAACCACAGCAGAAGCAGCATCAACCACAGCAGAAGCAGCATCAACCACAGCAGAAGCAGCCTCAGATGAAGCAGCAGCATGGGTAGAATGCGCGCAGCTGGAAGCAGCGGAGCTATTCGCCCTCTCATCCGCGCAGGGGCTCATTCACCTGCAGCACTCCCCCCAGGCGGACCTCATCCGCGCGCAGGCCTCCGCCAGGGGCAGCTCCCCCCGCATGCGCGATGTGCTAGTGGCGCCAGAGAGCTTCCCCCGGGGTGAAACGCCACCAGGGATAGGGGGGGATAGGGGGAGTGGCGGGAAGGTGGGAGGCGAGGGGAGGGAGTTTGAGGAGGAGAGGGGGTTGTGCGATGCGCCGAAGATACTGCCTGTGACAGAGCACCGCATTGGAAGGCAACTCATTGTGGATGGTACGTGGCTGGCCCTGCCAAACTTGATTGTGGATAGGAGTTTGTTGCCCTGTCAAACCTCCCTTCCTCGCTGTTGGCTGTGTGATGCGCCAAGGATACTGCCTCTGACAGAGCACCGCATTGGCAGGCAACTCATCGTGGATGGTACGTTGCCCTGCCAAACCTCCCTTCCTCCTTTTTTCTCTACGTGCAAAAGGCAGGGTGCATGAGTTGTTAGGTCCACTATGGGTCCAGTCCGGCTGAGGGAGCACTCTTCAGGTGACCTAACCTGCTGCCCCACCACCCCTCCTTGCTCCCATTCCCGCGTTTTCCTCCCCCCACCAGAGGACGTGGGCATGGTATACTGTTACGTGCAGAAGGCGGGGTGCACCAGCTGGAAGTTCTGGCTGCGGGAGCAGCACCACCACCCCTTCCCCAAGTCCTTCCTCTCCGCCCACACCGCCCACTTCACCAACGTCACTGCCGTCTGGTACTCCCTCACCGAGCCACAATGGACACAGTCACAACCACCACAGTCCACACAACCACAACCACCACCACCAGAGAGTTGAGAGTATCTTTGAGGAAAACAAGTCTATCGTGGGAGACACTACTACTACTACCAACGCTAACGGCCATGCTGGGAACATTAACGGCTGTGCTGGCAACACTAACGGCCAAGATGACAACATTAAAGGCTGTGCTGACAACACTAACGTCCATGCTGGCAACATCAACGGCTGTGCTGACGACACTACTAACTGTCATGCTGGCACTAACGGCCATTCTGGCAACACCAACGGCCATGCTGACAACACTAACGGTCATGCTGACTCTGCTGTGCTGGAAGGAGCCTATGGAGGAGCGACTGTAAATGGATTGCAGACGGGCGCTATCCGCCTGCTCATTCCACCTGCAGTGGCCCTGCTGCCTGGCTGTCTTGAGCCGAATCAGGGTGGTTCTGTTGCGGGCCAAGGGTTGGTGACGCGGCAAGGCTTGATGGTGGGTGGAGAGATTGACGGGAATATGCATGGGCGAGAGAGCAGCTGCAGCTGTGACGAGCCTGCGGAGCTGCAGCAGGTGGAAGGCGGAGCAACAGCAGCAGCAGGGACGAATGGTGGGGGTGGATATGGCTTGGGTAGAGCAGACACGGTGGGTGGAGGAAGGGGAGGGAGTGGAGGAGGAGGGAGTGGAGGTGGAGGTGGAGGAGGGGGAGAGATAGGAAGAGATGGTGCGACTTCACTTGGTTGCGGTGGGGAGGCAGACGATCAGAGGGTGCTGGCTCAGCCGCCGCTCCATATTCTGCAGTCCGTGCGGCCCGAGCCTCTCAACGGCTACAGCGAGCACGGTGAGTGCGATAGGGAGAGACAGCAAGAGACGGTGTTACGTCACTTGGTGGTGGGGAGGCAGACGATCAGAGGGTGTTGGCTCAGCCACCACTCCATATTCTGCAGTCCGTGCGGCCTGAACCTTTCGGCGGCTACAGCGAGCAGGGTGAGTGTGTAGTAGAGGAATCCATTCGTACCTTGCAGCATGCTGCGGATTGGCAGCTCTCTTACACCCTTTGTAGTAAGACACTGTGCGACGTTTTGTTCGGAATGTCTTGAAGCATGCTGCGCGGATTGGCAACACTCCCACGTCCTCTCAATTTTCTCAACTGCATCCTACTGTATCACAGGCCAAGAGGGGTCGGCTGGCGGTATGGCACCTGTGATCCACGGCATGCTGCTGGCGCATCCAACGGCTGAGAAGCCTCAGGAGCTGGAGTGGGACGATCTGATCGGTCGGATCGAGGCGGAGATTGAGAAGCCCCAGGCGAGCTCGTGTGTGGATGGCGATTCGTCTTCGATCGCGAGGCAGGACAGCCAGATGTAAGCAGAGGGGGCTTTGCAGAATGAGGGGGCTTGGAAGGAAGAGAGGGCTTGGGAGGAGATGAATTTTGGGTCGACTCAAAAGCCAAGCGAGCTCGTGTGTGGATAGCGAGTCGTCTTCGATCGCGAGGCAGGACAGCCAGATGTAAGCAGAGGGGGCTTAAGAAAGAGGGGGCTTGGGAGGAGATGACTTTGAGTCGACTCAAAAGCCAAGCGAGCTCGTGTGTGGATGGCGAGTCGTCTTCAATCGCGAGGCAGGACAGCCAGATGTAAGCAGAGGGGGTTTGGAAGAGAGAGGGGCTACGAAAGAGAGGGGGGTAAGAGAGGGCTTGAGACTATGAGGAGCCTTGAGACAAAGAGGGGTTTAATGATATGACTAAGAGGGGGTTGGAGACTAAGAGGGGTCTGGACTCACAATGGGCTCCGTCGGTGCAAGCTTGATATCTAATCTGTGCCACTTTTTTTGCCGGTGCATCCTTTGAAATGGTACCGTTTTCTCCCTCTGCTTCCCCTTCCTACCTCCTGCCCTCCCCCGATGGCCTTCAGAGTGAAAAGCAGTGAGGGAGCCATCTCTCCCAACGATGCTGGGGCTCCCAAACGTGGTAAGCACCAGCCTGCTCTGCTTGTCGATGCCATTTCTGAGGCGCCTAAAACATTCACCACCCTTATCGCGATTTCTGTTAGCACGGTCGCAGAAGCGCAGCAATTACACGTGCCAATACCAATATAAAGCGCTTCTAAGATCTACCACCCGGTGCTACAGACACTTCACCCAGTTTTGTGCGTGTAAAATATCCTATCTTTCTCCCTGTTTTTGCAGAGGCAGGCAAGGGCAAGGCGAGGCGGGTGGTGCAGAGGAAGCGGCCGGCTAACAGCACGTCCAAGTTCAGAGGGGTGACTCACCACTGCCGCACTGGGCGGTGGGAGGCGCACATCTGGTGAGGGTTGCCCTTGTTCAGGTTGCTATGGCATTTGTATATGAACCAATGCTCTACGGAAGTTCATCTGGGTAGTGGTAAGAGCTGCAGATAGAATGGCTATGGTGACTTGGTCTGGCTGCTTCATTTCATGTGTGTGCCTCCTTTTGGTGCCTTCTCCTTGTTCCCTCTTCTGTGTCCCGTTTTGTGTCGCTTCGCGTGCCTCCCCGTGTGTCTCGTTTTGTGTATCTTGGTCATGTGGGAATGGATGGGTGCAGGGAGGAGGGGCGGCAAGTGTATCTGGGAGGATTTGATTCTGAAAAACAGGCAGCGCTGATGTACGACATAGCAGCACTCAAGATGAGGTGAGGACATGCAGACACGCCATATCAAAGTAGAGGAGGTGAGGTGTACACATAGCGGCAGGGAGGAGGGGCGGCAAGTGTACCTGGGAGGATTTGATTCTGAGAAGCAGGCAGCGCTGATGTACGATATAGCGGCACTCAAGATGTGGTGAGGTGTCCCCATAGCTGCATTCAAGATTGTATGTGTCAGTGTGACAGCAAGTATCAAGCTGACACCTAGTGGCTTATGCTGGCACATGCTAGTAGGTGCATGCTAGCTAGCACATCCTGGCACATGTTGCTTGCAACCACGCTTGCTTACTCACTCATGCCGCATTGTACGTCATGTGTGCAGGGGCGAGGACGCACAGACAAACCTCCCTCCTGAGGAGTATACCAAATACACCAAGGAGATAGGTGAGCGTGAGCCTTCTTTCTGGATCTTCATTCTAGTTGTTTCAAAGGAATATCATTTTGTAGTCGACTCAAAAGGACGCGCCGACAAATCTCCCGCCTGAGGAGTATACCAAATACACCAAGGAGATAGGTGAGCCGTGACTTCCTATTAAGTACACATACACGTACTTGATGTCAGTCCGTACAGGCCGTCCCCAAGGAGGAGCTGATTCTGCTGCTGCGGCGCCAAATACAGGTGGAGGAAGAACTCACGTATCCTCCTGTCCCTCCACCCCCCGTATCCCTCACCTCCTGCTGTGCCAGAGGCCGTCCCCAAGGAGGAGCTGATTCTGCTGCTGCGGTGCCAAAGACAGGTGGAGGAAGAAGTCACGTATCCTCCTGTCCCTCCACCCCCCGTACCCCTCACCTCCTGCTGTGCCAGAGGCCGTTCCCAAGGAGGAGCTCATTCTGCTGCTGCGGTGCCAAAGACAGGTGGAGGAAGAACTCACGTATCCTCCTGTCCCTCCACCCCCCCGTGCCCCTCACCTCCTCATCTGCCAGAGGCTGTCCCCAAGGAGGAGCTCATTCTGCTGCTGCGGCGCCACAGCAAGGGCTTTGCTCGAGGCACTTCCAAGTACCGAGGGGTGACCAAACACCAAAAGGTAGGGCGAGGGGGGCACTTGATGTGGGTTGCAGTGGGTACATGTGGCGTGTGCTGGCTCAATACAGCGGCACAGCAAGGGCTTTGTGCAAGGGACGTCCAAGTACCGAGGGGTGACCAAGCACCAGAAGGTAAAGTGGAGGGGGGCACAGCACGTGATGTCAGCTGCGATTGGGCCGTCAGCTGCGAGTTGAATTTTGAGACGTCTCAAAACTCTTCTTTTTGCACGTGATGTCAGCTGCGATTGGGCCGTCAGCTGCGATTGGGCCGTCAGCTGCGAGTTTCCTTCCTCATATCTCCTCCCAATCGCAGCTGACGTCCTTCCTTTATATTCTTCCTCCCTCTTGCTCCTCTCTATGGCTCAGGCCTATGTCTACGCGTTTTTTTGTTCCGGCTCATGTCTATGTTTTTGCGTTTTTTCTGTTCCTATGAACTTGCACCGCTATCGTTCTTGTTTTGAGGTTCGGTGGGAGGATGGATAGGAAACGTGGAAGGCAGGCTGCATGGTCACATGGGGATGTTTATTCATCCACGGATAAGTGTTTTAAGCTACGGAAGCTTCAGCATTGTTCCTTCATTCGGTCCTTTCTCTCCCTGCTCCCGGCTCCCTCCCGTCCCATCTCTCTCTCCCTGATTCGCAGGGTCGGTGGGAGGCGAGAATAGGACACTTGGAGGGCAAGCGGTATGACTACCTGGTGCTGTTTGATCACCCTTTTCACCCTCTCTCTTGAAATCCCTCTCTCCATTTGCAGGGTCGGTGGGAGGCGAGGATAGGGCACGTGGAGGGCAAGCGATACGACTACCTGGGGTTGTTTGACACGCAGGAGCAAGCTGCTATGGCGTATGACAGGGCTGCTGTGAGGTGAGCGTTTTCCAATCACTGCCAACCATGTACGAGTCTATGAAGTCGCTATGAAGTGGCTTTTGGGAATCCGACTATTATGTCCTCCTCACTCCGTCCCTACGCCCCCCCCTCTTTCTCCCTCCGTGTCGCTGCGATGGCTGGTTTACAGGCAGAGGGGCCAGCAGGCAGTTACCAACTTTGATCTGGCCATGGTGAGTGTGTCTTCCGCATGTGCCTTAGGCTTGTGTTCGAGCATGTGCGTTGGGCTCGCGTCTTGAGAATGGACTTCTTAACAAGCCCGCTCCTCATTTATTCCCTTGTTGCACAGTGCGGGGATGACATTCGCGAGTTCAACCTCATGGCACAGCAGCACATGCTTCTGAGCCGCCTTGTTAAAAACCTGAGCTCTCCTCCATTTCTCCTTGTGTTTTTTTCTCCTTTGTTGCACAGTACGCGGATGACATTCGTGAGTTCAACCTCATGGCACAGCGCCTGCAGCAGCAGAGGGCGATGCAAGCTCACTCCACCGTTCTGCACCACACTACCAGCGCTTTTGAGCCGAGGGTTTTCGACGCACCGCAACACACTACGAGCGCCTTTGAGCCGAGGATCTTCGACGCGCCGCAACACGCAAGCAGTGGCATTGAGCCGAGGAGCAGCGGGGTGGAGCAGCACAGGAGGGTGCATTCAGAGCCTAGCATTCGCTCTGGCTTGCTGGTCGTTCAGCAGCAGGAGGAGCCGCAGTGGCAGACGCGTCAGCAGACACTGCAGCAGCAGCAGCAGGGGCTGTTGCTGATGCAGCACCAGCAGTTTCAGATGCGGCAGCAGGAGCAACAGATACAGCAGCAGCATCAGGAGCAGCAGCAGCAGCAGCAGTACCAACAGCACCAACAGCAGCAGCGGGAGCAGCAGCAGCAACAGCAGCAGCAGGCTGGGCTGCTGCAGAGGCGACAGAGCATTCAGTCTGAGCATTTACAGCAGCAGCTGATGCTGCCACCAGAGACGCACAACGGCTGGCACAACAGCAGGCAGCAGAACAATCAGCTGACAGAACAGGCGCAGGAGAGGGATCAGGCAGGGTGGGTGGATGGGCGCAAGAGGCTAAAACAGGCCAACCATTCAGCTCCAGCTGCTTTCCTTCGCACCGGCAGTGCCAGAGTCCTGCCAACCCTGCAGTCCCAGCCTTCTGCCATGGATATTGATGCGGCACTGGTGCCTTCTTTAAACACAAGTCCTGGCATCACTGCAACCACTAGTGGACCCAACACTCCTTGCGGCAACACCACTGCTGCAGCTGCTGCTGCTGCTGCTACATCTGTCCGCTCTACTGCTCCCCACCTTCCCCCCTTGGGCGTCTCCTCTTCCCTAGATGACTCCTTCCTCAGGCAGTATCCCCAGATTCCGCAGTTCCACCACCTCCCCTGGTCAGGTGTCTTGTCAGGTGACTGGTCAGGTGATTTCAACAGAGCAAGCAGCGCTCTCGTATCTGGTAGCACCGCGCCTTTGCTGTCCCACCGGTCTCTTTTGTCAGGTAGTGTCCTTCTGTCTCCCAGTAACCCTCCTCCTGCCGCCAAGAGTAACCTTACTGCTGCCACCAACACGCCAGTACCTGCCGCTTCCAATGCTTTTCACGGCATCAGCAGCAGTGGAAGCGGAAGTTTCCTGGCAGCTGCTGATGTCAGCTGCTCGTCCTGGTTGGCTGGCGTTGCTCCTCCTCTGCAGCTGCCAGCCAATCCGTACCTGCCACGTCACCTGAGCATGCAGCCACAGGTGGGCTTGCAGCAACACCTCAGCTTGCAGCGGCAGCTGAGCTTACAGCAGCATCAGTGGCAGCAGCAGCAGCAGAACACGCATCAAACTATGCTGTTCACTGGAACAGGAGGGGATGGGATGTTGTCAGGTGGAATGGGAATGGACAGAAAGTGGAGTGAAGGAATGGCTGGAGTTGACCTCTCAGGGTTCACAGGCCGTGGTGGCTTCGCTTCTGCTGGACTTTCAACGTTCACACCACCTGTTTCCAGCCTCACAGCACCTGCAGGGCTGATAGCACCTGGTGGTATGGCAGGAGAAGTTGGAGGGATGGCAGTAGGTGCTCTGCGTGGGCTGTCATGTCCCTCACAGGTTCTTGTGGCATCAGCAGCAGCAGCACCAGCAGTACCAGCAGCAGCAGCAGGAGCAGCTGTAGCAGCACCAGCACCAGCAGCAACGGCAGCTGCTATGACTGCACCAGCTTCCACAGCTGTTGTTTCTGCTCCCACCGATCCCATTTCTGCCCCTCATCCTTTTTCTCCTGCTCCTGCTACTCCTGTTCCCCCTGCTGTTCCTACTGCTCCTGCCACTCCTGCTGCTCCTACCGCTCCTGCTTCATCCCCCCCTCAGTCTGCGTCCCCTGATGCACCTGCTGCTGTGGCGTTGGCACATGGGGAGGGCAAGGACTGGTGGATGGGGCATAACAACAGCAACGGCAGATCTGCAGCTTCCCCTTTAGGTTCATCTCCGTTAGTAGCATCTCCTTTACAAGGATCTCCGCTAGGATCCCCGACTACTGCAGTGCAGGCTGATGTTGCTGCTTCCGATGCTGCTGCTGCTGTGGCTGAGTCACAGAGCCAAGCTGTGAATGACTGTGAGGGCAATGGGAAGCACCATGCTGATTCCCATGCTGCAGACGGGCGTGCTACAAACGGATGTGCTACAAACGGATTTGCGACAAACGGGTGTACCCATACAGGCAACAGCAAAGGGCAGCAGCAGAGGGTGGACTCACTAGACTCAGCAGAAGTGAAGCACATTTACGGAGCCATCACCCCTCTCTTTCAGGGAAACACTGCCGCCCCTTTCCCTCCCGGGACAATCTTCCCTCTTCATCCCCATCATAGTTCTGACATCTCCTCCCACATGCCTGGGCCCTCGCCCTTCCCAGACCATTCTCACCCTTCCGAGCCTGGGTTTGTCCGCTCCCAGTCCTCCCTCCTCCCCCCACACAGTCACCCGAATGCCCTCTCGCGCGGCCTTTCTCTCTGCGATAAGCAGTCGGCGTCAGCTGTTCACCACGCCCTGCTGGACCTCTTTGATCTGAACAACGACTTATCAAGGCGAGACCATGGCTTATCACGGCCCGAGCACCACTTATCGCAGCCGCAGCAGGAGCTAGCAAGGGCAGGGAAGAACCTTTCACAGCCAGAGGAGGGTTCCGGTGGTATCATGGAGAATTGTCAACAAACCGCTCCTCCCCATTCTCCCCCTCTCATTCCTCCCTTCCCTCCTCCTGGATCATCATCGCGACTTGAGCGATCCAGTAAAGTGAGCCTGGAGCTGCTGCTGCAGGAGAAGGTGTGAGGGCTTGTGCTGCTGCAATGAGGAAACATATAAGCCTTGGCTGCTGCTGCTGCTGCTGCTTCATCTGAAGGGCTGGAAGGCAATGAAAGGGTATGATCTTGAGTGTTGCAGGCTTGCAGCGCAATGGAAGGGTGTTGTGTCATCTCTCAGCTGCGCACTGTCATGCATTGCATTGCAGCCTTACATTAGCCTGCGTGCACTACTAGCCTGGTGTCAGGGAGGGATACATGGCAATGCTGCCCTTTTTTGGGCCATTCTTTGTGTGCTGCTCTGATTATTGTAGATGTGTGAGTTATTGTGTTGACTTCTTTATTTTTTTGTCGTGTGCTTAGTTTGTGTAATGTAGATGTGTGAATGCTTGTGTGTGGAATAAATATATCCTCTTCCGCTCTGCACTGCACTCAGCTCAACATGTACAAGAAATAAAAGAAAACTTCCACACAGCCATTGCCATGCTACAATATCACCTTGCATCATGTGCCTCCTCCACCCATCACAACAGCTGCGTAAATTAATGCATTATTGCTCACTTGCCGTAGTATCTACAAGCTTGTTCTATGCTTTGTCCCTGGGATCCTAGAAGCATGAACAACAGCAGCAGGCAAAACACGAGCACTATTCAACACAGTCCGTCCCTTGCCACTGGCTAAGAGTTGGTTTCCTAATTGTCTATCATAATCATTTTTAGCCTGTTGTGACCCATGTCCCTCCTGGGATATTGCCTTCCCTCCCATGCCTGCCTCTGCCCTCTTTCTCGCCTCCGCCTTTGCCGCTTTCCTCAGCCTCTTCTTTGCGGCCTGCTCCTCCTGCCATCTGAGGGCCAACAGAGCCAGGAAGTGTGGAAAGGAGGAACAGAGGAATGGAGAAATTTTGAGCGTTAGAAATGGCAGCAGCAGCGGCCGGTGGCTCCTGGCTGGAAGTATCTTCTTTGCTGCTTGCTCCTCCTGCCATCTGAGGGCCAACAGAGCAAGGGAGGGATGAACGGAGGGCGGGAGGAAAGTGGGAACGGAGGAGAAAGGGAGGGATGAGCGTTGGGGATGGCATGGCAGCAACATGGGCACTGCTGCCAGCCAGTGACAAGGCACCAGCAAAGTGTTCTTCTCTACCGCTTGTACTGCCTGCCACTGGGAACCCAACAGAGCAAGGAAAGGAGGAACAGAGGAAAGGAGGAAGGGAGGAACGGAGGAATAGAGTGCAGTTGCGTTTCTTGCAACAGCATAGCCCAGAGGGCCCTGGCAGGGATTGGCAAGGCGCATGGACTGGCAAGGCACTACATGGACTGGCTATGGGCACGGAAAGAGAAAAGAAGTTACAAAAGCAAGGGAGGTACTGACATTTGGCGAATGACCTTGAAAGCCTCGATAGTTGCGTATGGCTGGCCTGTGAGTGGGTCCCGGTACCTGGAAAGTCGAGTCACAACAGCAGAACACCATTCGGAAAACCAGTTTGCTGGTGGGTGAATTGTTTGTGAAAAATGCTGTTATTCAGACAAATGCTGTTCAGGTGATAAATGGTATATATATATATATACATTATCAGTAGGGGGTGGTGTAGAGAAGAGAACTGCAAGCTTACTTTGCTGGTAAACCTGTGATCACACAAGTGGCCTTGGCAGGGTCTGCAGGAAGAGGAAGGAGGAACAAAAAGAAGGCCAAAATATTGGGGAGGGTCCACAGAAGAACGGTGGGAGAGTAGTGGGATGGGAAGGAAGCTCAGCGGTGTGGTGTGAGGGATTGCTTTTGAGTGACTCACAAGTCACCTCGAACGGTGGGAGAGTAGTGGGATGGGAAGGAAGCTCAGCGGTGTGACGGATTGCTCAAAGGCAAAATAAATATGGTGAATACAGATACCATTTTAGGTGAAACAAAACAAATAATATGCGACTCTAAAGGCAGCATATGGTTGATTTTGGAGAGGTGTGGGAGTGAGCATATGTGAATGCGCCTTCAGGAAGTTCCAAAAAAATCGCTCGCAAGGTAAAGGCACAGAAGGAACAGGAGAAGCTGGGAAAGAGTTGCTAGAGGGGACGTACAGGAAGGCGCCTTTGCGTTGATCTCCGGAGGAACAGCCGCCACTTTGGTAAACTCAAGGGTGTTCTTCCCTGTCAAGGGAATTGGTTTGGGTTCGGTAGAAGAGGGAAGAGGGGGGAGAGAAGGAGGGGGAGATCGAGGCGCCTCAGGAACTGCCGCCACTTTGGTGAACTCAAGGGTGTTCTTCCCTGTCAAGGGAATTGGTTTGGGTTCGGTAGAAGAGGGAAGAGGGGGGAGAGAAGGAGGGGGAGATCGAGGCGCCTCAGGAACTGCCGCCACTTTGGTGAACTCAAGGGTGTTCTTCTCTGTCAAGGGAATTGGTTTGGGTGCAGGGGAAGCGAAAGAAAGGGGGCGAAGAGGAGGGTGTGTGGGGAAGGGAAAGCGGGAGGTGGGTGGGAAGGGGGAGAAGGGGGGGGAGAAGCGGAGAGAGTGGTTGCTTGCACTGCCCTTCGGGTGGGGAAGGGGAAGCGGGAGGTGGGTGGGGAAGGGGAAGGGGAAGGGGGACGGGGGGGGGGAGAGTGGTTGCTTGCATTGCACTGCCCTTCGGGTGGAATCAATCTGCTATTCAACAACAGAATGCCTTCCTGGAATACGATTTGATTTGATCTCACCGTCCTTGGAGTGGAATCGGATCTGCGGCCCACCAAAGATTGCTTTTTCCACAACGGCCTTCCGCTTCACCTCCTCCTCCCTCGCCAGCATCACTGCCAGGGCCTCCCGGTTCAGAATCTCTGCATGAGGCAAAGAGGGAGCAGAAGGAGTGCATGGGGGGTTTTGCATCAGGAGGACTACCATCTCTGCAACCACACCAGCACCACAGCCTTCCGCTTCACCTCCTCCTCCCTCGCCGAGCTTGCAGCTTTCTACCCGTTTTCTTAGTTTGAGAGCAAGGGCCTCCCGGTTCAGAATCTCTGCATGAGGCAAAGAGGGAGGAGAGGGGGTGCATGGAGGGGGGTGCATGAGGAGGACTACCATCTCTGCAACCACACCAGCACCACAGCCTTCCGCTTCACCTCCTCCTCCCTCGCCAGCATCACTGCCAGGGCCTCCCGGTTCAGAATCTCTGCATCAGACCAAGGCGAACGGGGTGGATTTGGATACGAGGAGAAGAGGCCCCCTATGAATCACGCATTTCCACAACGGCCTTCCTCCTCCCTCGCCAGCATCACTGCCAGGGCCTCCCGGTTCAGAATCTCTGCATGAGGCAAAGAGGGAGCAGAAGGAGTGCATGGGGGGTTTTGCATCAGGAGGACTACCATCTCTGCAACCACACCAGCACCACAGCCTTCCGCTTCACCTCCTCCTCCCTCGCCAGCATCACCGCTAGCGCCTCTCGGTTCAAGATCTCTGCATCAGGCCCCGGGGGGAAGGGGGAAAAGGGGGAACGGAAGGGGGTCCACACCGCACCTGACTTTTGAGTCGACTCAAAAGTCACCCCGGGGGGAAGGGGGAAAAGGGGGAACGGAAGGGGGTCCACACCGCACCTGAATCAGAACGCACATGTACGTTTGTGCTCCATACGACTCAGCACCCTTATACTCAACCCTGAGCTCACATGGGAAAGGATCCACTGAACCACATCCCACCTGTCTGCGTGGCCTCCAGAAGCATCTCCTCCTAAGTCCACCGCCTCTCGCCCTCCTTCCTCTTCCTCACCGCCTTGGGCACCCCCTCCCTCGCAGCCCTTAACAACCTACAACCTGCCCAAAATGGTGCAACCTGTCCCCACCCCACTGAACCGCACCCCACCTGTCTGCGCAGCCTCCAGAAGCATCTCCTCTTGTGTCCACCGCCTCTCGCCCTCCTTCCTCTTCCTCACCGCCTTGGGCACCCCCTCCCTCGCAGCCCTCAGCATCTGCCTCTCCATGTCCTTCACCACCACCGCTGTCCTCCTTGACTTCCTCCTCTCCACCCCTCCTCCCTCCCTCCCGCCTCCCTCTCTCCCTCCTCCCCCTCCCCCCCAATTTTCGTCTGTCAGATCTACTGTCGCATCACCAATAAGCTCCTCTCCCTCCTCTCCCTCCTCTCCTTCCTCTCGCTCCTCTCTCCTCTCTCCCCCACCTCCCTCCGCCCCTTCCCGTTTCACTCGCCCCACTCCCAGCAGAGCCAGCTCCCGTCTCTGCCTACTCTTTCCCACGCCACTCTTCTTCCCAGCTTTACTCTTCCCTTTCTCCGCCTCCGCCCCATCAACCATCGCCTCCCCGTCAACCCTTCCGCTCGCTTTCCCCTTCTCTGCAACAAGCATCCTTCCACCAACCCCCTTCTTTGCTGCCTTAGCAGGCTTCTTAGGCTTTTTGGATATTTTCTTGGTGCCAGGAGGCAGGAGACGGCGCTTGGTAGGCCTGGTGGGGCCGGAGGGGCAGGTGGGGCAGGTGGGGCAGGTGGGGCAGGTGGGGCAGGTGAAGAGAGAACAACAGATGAAGAAACATGATGAAAGAGACTGAAAGAAATCAAGGTATGAAGTAAGGGCTTGGGCACTGGTGTCTCGGAGACGGATGATATGGGGAAAAATGTGCGGAAAGGGAAAGGGAAAGAGGCATGGAAAGGAAGGAACATGGGAAGAGAGACGAGGGAGGGGATGCGGCAGGAGAGAGGATAACGGGAGAGGCAGACCTTTCTTTCACCTCTGCTCCAGGCTCCTCCTCCTCGTTTTCTGGCTCCTGTCACGCGCATACACATATGCAAGATCAGAGAGAAAGAGGAAAACAGAGGAGTGCGAAACATGGTGTGATTATCAAGGTGGTGAGAAACCATGTAAATTGTGCGACAAAGAGGCATGTGTGAGAAGGAGGTTTTCCTATAACAAGTCGCTCACGTCACATCACACCCATCATGCTCACGTCATCACACCCATCATGCTCACGTCATCATCAAAGTCGCTGTCGAAAACGTCCTCATCCACCTCGCCCTCCGTTGCATACTCCACATCCTCTGCTTCCTGTGGTATGTCAACATCACATATACACATGCACATGTACACATATACACATGTGAAACAAGTACATGTATTTCACACATTCGAAAAACGTCCTCCTCCACCTCGCCCTCCATCGCATACTCTGCATCCTCTGCCTCCTGTGTTATCATTATCACAATCAAATCATATATGTACGGTAAAACAGATAAGTGGTTTTCCACACATTTAACCGTCCTCCTCCTCGCTCTCCATTGCATACTCTGCATCCTCTGCTTCCTGTGGTATGTCAACATCACATACACACATGTAAAACAAGTACATGTATTTCACACATTCGAAAAACGTCATCCTCCACCTCACTCTCCATCGCATTCTCTGCATCCTCTGCTTCCTGTGGATACATATATGTAAAACAGGATTGTCATGTAAATTTACTGACCACGTCAGTCAGCACGTCTCTGTACCCATCCACCGTACCGAACTCATAACAAGTGGTTAAAATCCAGGTCAGCAGACTCACTCACAAATCTCATCATTGGTAGCTGAAATCCACGTCAGCAGGCCATTTACCCAACTCATGACTGAAACTTCAAAATCGACGTGAGCAGTCCCACTTACCTCTTGAAAGGCCTTTAGATTCAAAAACTCCTCATCCGCGTCTAGATCCTTCAACCCTCCTCCCCCCCCTCCCTCTCCCCACCCCCAGCGGTCTTTTGAGTCAACAGATCCACGTCAGCATGCCAGCTCACCTCCTGGAAAGCCTTTTGATTCCAAAACTCCTCATCCGCGTCTAGATCCTCCCCCACCAGCTCCGACACTCTGATTGGCGCAAGCAGTTGGGGGATAGGGGAAACCGCAAATATGATTGTGAGGAAAGGGGACAGGAGTGGAGGAATGAAGGAAAGGGGGAAGAGGGAAGGGAAAGGAAAAGGAAAAGGCGCCACTTGAGAGAGGGATGACGGAGTCAGGACAAGGATTTCTCATCTGCGCCTCGTAGTTCTCTTAGCCCAACAACGAGCTGGCTGCTACCTAGTTACAGCAGTAAGCAACTCACGTTGCAGGGAGTTTTTGAGAATTCTCAAAAACTCCCTGCGACCCAACAACGAGCTGGGTGCTACCTCGTAACAGCAGTAAGCAACCCACGTTCCTAACCTCTTCCCCATGACGGCTCACCGTTTTCCGCGGGTGGACCGCGCGGGAAGGCGGACCCGTTCCGGCTCAGCCATGGCGCCACCCGCGCAGAGAAGTCACGTTCGCAAACCTATTACGCGCAGAGGTCACGCGGGAAACCAAGCCGTCCGCAAAAGCGCGCGAGTTTTCTCAGCCAATGGCAAGAAAAAATCACCTCAATTGTAGCACTAGTTCGTGCAAGCAGGAATCCTGTGTGCCATGTGAAAGTCGCGCTGTTGTTGGATGGTGAAATTTGATTTTCGAAGCGATGTTGAAATGTTAGGAATTTGGTTTCCTACGGCCAGTTACAAAGACTTCTCCATGGTTGCTTGTAAGGGAACAAGTTTTTGTGGTGATGTACTTTCTTTAGTTTCCTCAGTAAGAATACTAAAAAGCAACTTTGTCATGACACTACTGCTGTACCGAGCCTCTCTGGTGGTGTTACTCGTTATAGCTTGTGAAATTGATCTCGTTACTGAACAAGCAATGATGTCCACTGGTCCTGCTTCGTTGGCAACGACAGCCAGTGAAAAGGTTCGTCGTCGATTATCAGCGCGGCGCGATTACGGCCGACGCCCTTCTACCGTACCGGCCCTAACCATACCAGAACATTGCTGAAGAATCCCAGGTGTGAACCTTCGCTTCGTGATCGAACCAAGACACCCATAATCACAGGAGCAACGCTGCCCGCGGATTGGCCTGATTCGGATTCACCCAATAGAGCTTGTTCCCACGTCTTGCCAAACCTGTAACAGCCACAGAATAGGCCTTGTCATCGGAAAATACAGCTCACAACAGCCCAACGACATTTCCCAGGTTGATTCCCCCATGTTGCTGATCGCATCGCACGGTCGCACGCACCCCACCAAACTTCGAAACGCCATGGAGTGGTGTGGTGTGGTCCTCTGTTGTGCTCTGCTTGGCATCGCCGTGCGCTTCTCAGCATTCGTGGTGAGTACGGTACTTGTGCTGTTTGCTATGCCCAGCCCTGCATTCTTGCTCTTCTCCCATTTTAGCTGAAAGCACTGCTTTCTGCGTCGGGAGAAGGACCAACGGAGGTCCATATTTTGTTGTGGTTCTCCTTAGTGTCGTGGCGGTCGGAGGTTTGAGCTGATTTTACTCCGCACAGTAGCATTATCGGCACGATCAAAGCCGTACGTCTGGTTCTGATCCGTCAACGCATCACAAAAGCCCCAACGCGACCCAAATTTGTGTTAGCGAAAGCTTTCCATTACTAACTTGGATTGCGAAGCTTCGAGCAGTAGAGGCAAGCATGGGTCGCGGAGGTCAGGGAGTCGCAGCTGTGAACCGTCGAGCAGTCAGCGAGGCACCGGCTGCTGATGCGAAGAGCAACAAAAACAAGAACAAGATCGCTCGAGCTCCATCGGTGAGTGTAGTTCTGGAATTTGTTGAGACGTCTTAAAAGTCAACAAGAAGATCGCTCGAGCTCCTTCTGTGGGTGTAGTTCCGGTGTCTGTCCCGTTTCGTCAGTCAGATTCCTGGAGAACGTTACGGATAACCATGGAAATAAGTCCCATTCGGTTCGATGCCGTTTGACTTTTTCAACACAAACCGATTCGTATGGACTAGGTCATTCAGAACAGTCAACAGTTGAGAGACTTTAAGGTGTTTCTTTGATCCGAATGCCATCTCAACCTCCAGTGGAACCATCTCCATTCACCACAGCTGATCAGCCGTCGTTCCATCTCCGTTCCCTTATAGCCAAAACCCCACATCTATCTCGCACTCATTCCCATCTGACTCCCTTCTCCCCTTCTGCCGCCAGGCAAAGCCCCCCTTCACTCTGGGTGACTTGCGCCGAGCCATCCCCCCACACTGCTTCCAGCGCTCCACCCTCCGCTCCTCCGCCTACCTCCTTATCGATCTCGCCTTCGCCGCCTTATTCCTCTACGCCACCACGCGCTTCGACGACATCCACCAACTCGTAGATCCGGCCGTTGAACCGCTCCTCCCGGCGCATCTCCAGCCGTACGTTCGGCCGGTGGTGTCGGTGATCCTGTGGGGGCTGTACACGTGGCTGCAGGGGTGCGTGTGCACGGGCCTGTGGGTGATCGCGCACGAGTGCGGCCATGGCGCGTTTTCGGACTACGCGTTTGTGAATGACACGGTCGGCATGGTGGTGCACTCCTGGCTGCTCGTGCCTTACTTCTCCTGGTGAGCCTTGAAATCCTTCCGGCTGGGATATGAACCTTTCTAAGAGAAAGAAGAGCCTTTGAAAGTGTTCTTTGACAATTTCTTCCGATTGGGATGAGCTCTCTCTTAGTGATTGGCATGCGTTAAATGTCAGGTCAAAATCTCTGGAAACTTCAGAGGGACTTGGGCGAGGTGGCATGCCTATCTTGAAGTTTGAACGGACAGAGACCAACGAAACCAACCATGTTAAGAATAGCTCCAAATTATACTTCATCAATGGATCCTTTTGCTTCTGCTTCCTCCCGACACATTTCCCCAAGGCGTTTTTTGAGTCGACTATGTCGTTCACAGAACCCCTGGGCCCTTTTCCAGCCCCACCAACATCTCCCATCCAACCAACTCAAACCCTTTCTCAGCTTCCTCACGCATTAGCTGACCTGATTGTCACCACCCGCTTTCTCCCGTGCTGAGGAGATCCAGTCCCGAGCGCCCACCGTCCTGTCTCCGCCCTCCTTCTCGTTGCGCGGGTAATACAGCCACCACCGCCACCACAGCAACTCAACACTCACCACCCTCTTCTCCTCCCCTCTCCTCCTCTTTCGCCTCCCCCTTCCTCTCCCCCCCCTCCCCCCTCACCTCATTTTGGTTGCGCAGGAAATACAGCCATCGCCGTCACCACAGCAACACGGGCAGCCTGGAGAATGACGAGGTACGTGCTTGCATGCATAAGTAGGGTGGTTATAAGGGGGTGGGATTGCATGCGCACAAGTAGAGTGGTTATAAGTGGGTGTAATTACACCTGCAAGGCTGCAAGCTCGTAATGGTTCGAGTTGATGGTTCGAGATAAACTCACAACTCTCATTCTCAAAGCTTGATTGGTGACTTCTGTCGAAACGTCTCAAATGCCCATCTGTTGCACTTGTCGACTCAAAACTGAACCGACGGATTTCTGTTTCCCTCCCCAGCCCAGGCGTTCGTGCCCACACGCAAGGAGCTGCTGACGGCAGACACGTAGTACCTGCAGCACCCCTTTGGTCTCCAGCACCCCTTTGGTCTCCAGCACCCCTTCCATCCTATTGACTTGTAACGTCATTCTCCTTCACTTGCGTCCCTCCTCCTCCCCACGCCAGGTGTTTGTGCCGGCGCGAAGGGGGCAGTCTCAGAGTACCTGCAGCACCCCTTTGGGCGCGAGTGTGTGAGCGTGCCTGTTCCAACACTTTTCTGTTATCTAACCTTCACGCCCACGCCAGGTGTTTGTGCCGGCGCGCAGGGAGCAGCTGGGGCCAGTGTCAGAGTACCTGCAGCACCCCTTTGGGCGCGTGCTCTCCATCTTCATCACGCTCACCCTCGGCTGGCCGCTCTATCTCGCCTTCAACGTGTCGGGCCATGAGTACAAGGGCGTACATGCCAACCACTTCAGCCCCTACTCGGGGATTTTCTGCGATCGAGAGCGGTTCTGGGTGGTTGTCAGCGATCTGGGGCTGTTGGGAGTGCTCGGGTGCCTCTACTCCCTTGGATCTGCCTATGGCCTCGCGTGGGTGCTTAAGGTACAGCTTTGGCACAGCTGCAGAATGGTTTAGCATGGCTGTAGCGTATCAGGGAATCTACTGGTAGTGCGCGGGTGTCTCTACTCCCTCGGTTCTGCCTACTTCTTCGCATGGGTGCTCAAGATGCAGGTGCAGCATGGCTGTGTGTCTCCACAGTATTGCCGCCCGCCAGGTGTATGTGTGTCCGCTCTTCCTAGTGAAAATGTTTCTCGCGCTCATAGTGCTGCTGCAGCACACACACTCTGCTTACTATCTCTGCCCCTTATCCTCTTTTGCCCCCACCCTTACGTGCTTTCCAGGTGTATGTGTGTCCTCTCCTAATAGTCAACATGTTCCTGGTACTCATCACGCTGCTGCAGCACACACGCCCCGCCCTGCCTTACGTCTCTGCCTCTTTCCCATGCCCACCCGTTCCCCTCCCCAACCCCCCTTCCGCTCTCTACTCTCCAGGTGTACGTGTGTCCGCTCCTCATAGTGAACATGTTTCTGGTACTCATCACGCTGCTGCAGCACACGCACCCCGCCCTGCCACACTTTGACTCGACCGAGTGGGAGTGGCTGCGAGGGGCGCTCGCCACTGTCGACCGCGACTACGGCTACCTCAACATCGGTGAGCCCAAAGTGCAGTGTGGTGCAGTGTGGTGCAGCATGCCTTGCCCACTACTCTCACCCTCTTCGTTCCCCGCCTCCTCTCCTCCCTCCTCCTTCATTCTCATTACCCCACCTCCCCACCACCACACACAGTGCACCATCTCATTGCGGACACCCACGTGGCACATCACATTCTCCACCATGCCTTTTCTTCACTAACTGAGCAACACCATCCCTGCTGTATTTTCCCTCGGCCTCACCCCCTCTTCCCCACTTTCCCCTCCCCCCGCCACCACCACCAGTGCACCATCACATTGCGGACGCGCACGTGGCACATCACATATTCTCCACCATGCCTCTTTCTAACTATCTGAACAACCCCTTGCCTGCTGTATTCCCCCCTGCTCTCCCCCCTCTCCCTCTCCCATCCCCTCCCACCACCAGTGCACCATCACATCGCGGACACCCACGTGGCGCATCACATATTCTCCACCATGCCACACTATCATGCGGAGGAGGCCACCCGAGCCATCAAGCCCATCCTAAAGGACTACTACCAGTTTGACGGCACTCCCATCGTGAAAGCCCTCTGGCGGGAGGTGTCACAGTGCGTCTGCGTGAGTACCTACCAACCCTTCTGACCATTCCATTGTAGTCGTGCCTATTCATTAATCGCCTCAAACAGAGGAGGCAAGAGGAGGCCACACGAGCCATCAGGCCAATTCTTAAGGAGTACTACCAGGTCTACCAGTTTGACGGCACGC